AGGTTCGTAAACAATGGTGGACATGGTGAAATTTTTGTCCTGTGATCCTGATGCCCAAAACTTAAGACAAACAAGACCACCTAATCCCTCCTCAGGCAGCTTAACTTCAACAGTGCTCATTATAGAGCCATCTCCAGATAGAGACACCAAAGTCACTATTACCTGTGACCACAATATCCCAAGATATCATCAAATTAGTGATAAGATGTTTTAGTAGAATGTAAATAAATGAGATGGTGCTTTCAAGCTATAAAGTAAAATGAGCAACTTACTCTGATTTCATCACCTGGTTGATGGTTTCTCTCACAGACTTGAACCTGCGAAATGCCCAATCCAAAATAACTTAAGTCACATATAATCACTTATAAACAACAGAGCAATCTCTCTCTCTCTCTCTCTCTCTCTCTCTCTCTCTGTATATACATTATATATATACACATACATATACTTTATTTATGGAAATAAATTTGATGCACATGAAAAGGAGAAGGAGCAAGTACATGATGCATCCAACTGGAAGATCCTCTAGTGGCCCAAAACTAACAACAACAAAGCAATATCTACCTTTTTAATTTACAAGACTAAAACAACACAGACTCACCAAAAGTATATTTATTCAATTGAGAAAATATATTATGTCGAGAAATATTTCAATTTAAAACCATTTTTCTCTTCCCAACATGTACATACAACCACAACCACAACAACAAACATATTTATCAACACAATAATTTCACATAGCTAGCAGCTTTGGCTAGTACTTGCACCTAGGAATTTATGTTGTGGGTATTTATTTACCAATCAACAAACTCCCTTACAAGGACAATTAAAAAACCCAGAAAGCAATAAAAAGTTCTCTGTAGCAAATTCAACAATTATCCATTGAAACATTAAATAAACAACAAAACATCTTCACCTCAGAAACTTCACGGTCATCAAATAAGCTGTAGAATTGGATTCGATAATTCTCTGTACGCAAGGCAACCAACCCAGCAGTGTGATCAAAGGCAAACCTGTTGCATATTCCTTCATATATCTCTGGAACTGAATAAGGAAGCTGAAAAGTAAACAGTTCTAATTAGAAGCTTTGACATTAGTTTATTTCTCACATAAATATGCTGGAACTAACTTCACAGGCAGATTCACAAAAGGTGAATGAATCCATCAAAACATTCAGCAGCCATCCTGGCACATTCATAAAAAAGGTAGCTTAAGCACCAGCTCACTCTCTCACACATGCACACATTAGCATTCAACCTGAATGCAGGGTTAGACATTTAAGGCTCATCTTAAGGCAAGGCAGTTATAGAATGTCTCAGCCCACTATTATTAAAAATTTCATCACGCACATAAATCCTGGTATATCCCTGAAAACATACAGCAGCAATGCTGGTAAATTCATACGAAATGTAGCTTAAGCACCAGCTCATTTAATCTCACATATGCACACATTAACATTCAAGCTGGAAGGCGAAGCCGTTCTAGAATGTCTCCATCCTATATTAAGTAGAAATTTCATCCTCCATATTCATCCCAGTCAAGGTATGGTGCAGACTTTTTGATGTCCTTTTTATCACACTTGCCTCACAAACAAAGGACCAGTTGACTCTAGCCTGCTCATCAATATACACCATACCTGTAGCCAGGTCCTAATGATGTGCACTGTCAACAGTGTACCCTACTAATCTGTGTTTCTTACGAAAACATAATGTTTTTACTAATAACTGCTACCTCAATCTACTAAACGTTTATAATAAGTCAATAACACACAATAGAATGGCCTTGAGAGACACAAACCAGAATTTCCAATTGAAACAAACCTTGATCCCTGAAATAGACTTCACGATTTCCATTAAGGGCATTTTTAGTATATGAATTTGATTATCTGCACAAGATATCTAAAAACCATATATCAGTGAAACCAGTAGAATTCATTAGTTCCTCACCACAGAGAATGCACAAATATGTTAATTGAAAATCTTCTTACAGAAAAAAGTGAAGGATCTGGAGAATCAGTCAAATATAGAAGCGGAGATCCAATTCTGGGCAAGAATTTCTTTTTCCCTGTGTCTAGCTGCCAGACCACAAGAACTCCTTCCACTCCGCCTGGATACCACAGAAGTGTCAATATATATAGGACACTTATAGGATACTTACAAATTAAGAAATTCAGACAAAGAAATGGGGGGTGGGGAGGGAGAGATACGATGAGGAAAGGGAAAGACATATTCCAGGTCCATTTTCACCTGCACTTGCTCAAAATCCACATACCTGAATATAAATAGGCTCCGTCAGAAGAGAAAGAAAGGACACTTATTCCAGCAGGATGCCAATGCCATGTGGTGCAAGAATCAGCATCATCATCTCCCCTAACTCCAGGTCTTTCTTCCTCATTATTCATTGATGTTCCATTTTCTAGTTTTCCACCATCAGAAAACGTACGATTACCAAACCCTCTCCAGGTTAGAATTCTCCCACTTACATCACCTGCGGCAACAATTGTCTTGGTCGGATGAAATGCAAGAACCGTCAAGTTTCTTGTATGATGCAATGTAATCTTCTTAGAGACTAAGTGTTTAGAATCTATAGCAGGGACCCTCCATATATGAATCTTCCGCTTGTTCCAGATGCCAAAGAATTTTCCCGAGGGACTGACAGTGATAACCTCTGGTTCTCGAGTCTACCAAATTGAGTAATAATATCAATATCAAATAGGGTATAAATACATCAGCAGACAATATATAATAATACATGATAACAGAAGGCTATCAACCAATACGAAAAAGGACTAAACACATAAAGTCATAGAGCTTTGTAATAAATATTATCATTGCACTTCCTTTTTGTTTCCTTCATATACGCAATAGAAAAAACCTAAAAGCAAATAATTTGTAGTAGATTTTTGCACCTCTGTGAAAACACCGCCACCCAACCGAGATTCAGTCAAATCACACTTCCGAATCTGCCCACGCAAAGCCTTTGGTGCATTTGCTTGCACTTGGGTATTCTCAACAGACAAGTAAGCAAAAACATGAACCGGCAACGCACTTTCTTGCATTCCTTTCTCCGGTTGGCCCAAAAAGGACGGAATAACCTGAAAATCAAAACCAAACAACGCTACCCATGAACATTCTCTCGGCTCCCAAACAGAAAATAAAAGAATAACAATAAATAAAAAAGCAACAAAGCTAAATAAATACCATAGAGAAAATGGGCATTTTAATATCAATGGTCTTCATCAACTCAGCGACTGCAAAGTCCCAATAGCGAAGGGTGCCGTCGAGGGAGGCAGTCCAGCAAAAGCTCAGAGCTTTGTTTCCGGGAACTACTATGACGGAGGTGACCAAGGCATTGTGAGCCTCCAAGGACGCTATCTAAATTAAACAAATAAAACCAAATATTATCATAACAGGGAGGGTATGGGAGCGTAAATTGAGGAGGAAGAGGAGGGTAGAACTGGAAACCTGTAAACCGGTGGAGGTGCTAAAGATGGAGACGACGGTGCCTGTGCAGACGAGGAGGCGCTTGGCGTCGGTGGAGAAGGCCGGAGGTGCTGACACGTAACTCTTGCCGCCAGCAATCATCTCTCTCTCTCTCTGTGTCTCTCTGTGCAACTGTTTGAGTTTGAGAATTCAGAGAGTTGAGCAGCCTCCCTTTTAGTGTTTTGGAGGGTTTTTGTTTTAGGGGTTTAAGACTTCGGCTACCGAGAGTTCTTCTACATTTTTTAACGAAGAAGCCGTCGAGGGTCCCTTCAAGCTTTCCTTTTTTTTTTCTTCTCACTTTAGGGCCCACGCTAAGGCCCAATTAACCACATAAGAGTGGGTTTTGCCCGATCACAATACTTTGAGAAATTTTCACCAAGCAGTTTTTACTCTTCCCATCAAAGAGAGAAAAATCAATGGAAGCTCGCCCGTTCCCTAAATTTATTGGCCCGATCACAATACTTTGAGAAATTTTCACCAAGCAGTTTTTACTCTTCCCATCAAAGAAAGAAAAATCAATGGAAGCTTGCCCGTTCCCTAAATTTATTGGCTTTGTGATATAATTAAAGGTTAGTGGGTCTTAGGTTCGAGGACTGGTACCGATCGGATCAACGTATTACCAGAAAAATCAATGTCGGGAAACACAAATGGGGAAATCATGAGAGCTAGGAAAATGGTCCATGAGGGGCAATTGCCCCTACTAGCTATTGGTGATTTATAGTTGGGAAAAAAATAAAACAGCAGAATATAACAGTTCGAAAAATGGAAAAAAGGGAAAATTTGAGTACAGAGTAGTTGATAGGTCCAAGTTAAAGGGAAATATTTTGGATGGATATGAAATTATGATCCAAAAAATTTCAACTTTGGCACGCCCAGATCATGTATGACATCTGAAAGTTCCAAAATACAAAAGTTTCAAAACAAAACCGAATTACATGGGAATGAATCAATGGAAGGAAAGAGTTGGCCAGTCTCTTATTTAAGCAGTTGTAACAACACATGCGAATATAGATTAAAGAATAACTTATATAAAAAAAAAAAAAGAAAAAAAAAAAAATAAAATATATATATGAACTGCATATAGTATATACTGATCATCAAATCACATCTCTCACCCCTCGATGAAATGATATTAAGAGGTAATGCTCTTCCATAAACACAATTGAAGAAGAAAATGGCATTTCATTGATTAGTTATCATATTTACAGTCACATACTTATATACAACCAAGTGATCCTTCAACTAGCCCAACAGAATTATTGCTCATCAATACCTAATCCTTTTAAGTATAACTATAAATACAACTGAAAATATATTTAAAACTATATCCGCAGTGCTCTTCTGTTATTATGTTTCCTTCCGATATCCTTCTAGTGAGCCGGCAGACTTGCTTCCTTCTGCTGCTGGCAGCTTCCCCTCAGAAATGCTACTGCATGTATGGTTTGCCTAGATGAAGGGAAATTGATTTTGTGCAAATATATCCTTCGACTCGTAGCATGTTCCACCCAATCTGGATGATTATGAAGGATATGTATCATTCAACTTTTTAATGGCAGGGAGTTGCCAAAGCCCAAAGGTGATTGCTAATTTCTGTGGCCTAGAAAAAAGAAACAGAACAAGAACAAGACATCTAATGAGACTCGCGGACTTTTAAAAAAAGAGTAAGTCTAGGAGTAGAGAGCATCAATGTTTAGAAATTAAGACAAGGGCATTTCTCTTTTGAAAGCTTCCACCATGTTTTTGCAGGATTTGATTGTTCATGGATTTTGGGATAGATTTTGACAACCAAATTCTGACTTGCAAGCTAAATAATTAAAAACAATGAGTAAAACAAGGATCATAAAACCTTGAAAGTACAATGTTATAAATTCAAGAGAGTTGGTAGATAAATGAAAATTGAATGATGAGCAAATACATACCTAGGCTCTGGTAAATCATTGATTCGATGTTCTGGAAAAGGGAAAGGCAAGCGCTTCAATATGAGCATCATTGTCCTCTTCATCTTGGCCTTCAGCCGCCTCACAAAATTCACCATTTTCTCTCTGTATTTCATATTGAACCCTAAAACCTAATTGGTAATCAGACGAATAGAAAGGACTGGTTTGGTTACATGATACACTGTCTCAGAGTCTTTATCAGGTGATCTTTATAGATGAGAAATTTAGGGTTCAAAGGACCCTCAAACAAGAGACAAATAGAAGGGAGAGATTTTTTAGAGCACTGTACATTCAAGGAAATCTTCATTCTCAGAAGGCAGGCCCAATTCCTGATGGCTGGAAGTTGAAGAGTGAAGTCCAAAAGGACGGATCTAAAACCTCGTGCTACTGGTATCCAGCAACTGGTCAGCACTTTTTCACTTATGAACCTGATATTAGAAGCAGTGACCTGATAAATAAACACATATTAAAACGTTAGAATATTCTGAAAATGAAATTAGTGATATAAACCTAGCTACAAAAATCAGAGGTGTAAACACTGAAACTGAAAATATTCTCTAGCAACCAGAGTATTAAAAGTACTTCAAGGATTTAAAGCTGACATTAATTATATGAAATCTAGAGCTCAAGTTTGATACTGAGCTCGAACCCTCAGAGTTATTGAGTTAGAAAATTAAGATTTATTTCATCACAACCTGGTCTTTAATTGAACTAAACCTTTATATTTCCAAATAAAACCAATTTGATATCACTTGTATTCAAAATATTCGATATAAATACAAAAGAATAATTTTCTTTTTGTAGAAAGAAAGAAATTAAATTATATATATATATATATATATAAAAGCCTACCAATAAAAAGTTTACATTTTGGAAGCAGAAAATCAAGAAATAAATTAAAAATAATTGGGTCTATTCAAGATCGACCCAAGCAAGATGTACCCCAAGAAAGATAACTTTTTAGCATATTAAAAGCATCAGGACACTACAAAAAATAGACCCAATTGGGACTGTTTTTCGGAATCAGATATGGGCAGTCCAATTAACCACAGTTGGCATCAGCATTAGATTTTTCTTCTCCGAATCCTAAGAAAGCTTCTGTGCTCAGAGGCTAAGGTTTCATAAAACAGAAACAGAATTTCAACGATACATATGATAATAAATAATGATAAGTTGGAACCATGCTAAAAAAAAAGGGTACAACTAAAAATGATCATGAAGCCTAAAGAGGGTAAATTTACTGAGGTATACCTCTCTGGTAAATCAAGGATTCGATGTTTTCCAACCCTAGCTAGGTCAGGCTCAGTAACGGCTCCATCATCCTCTTCATCTTGGCCTTCACATGCCTCACAAACTTTTACCATTTGCTCTCCCTATTTCTGTCTCAGTGGAACCCTAAAATTTATTCAGTAATGAGAGGACCAAAGAGGAGAGGAGAAGTTTGTGCACAGATCTCAGTCTCAATATGGTCAGTTTTATAGATGAAAAGGAGGGGTGTAAAAAATTTGGCTCATTTGAAATCAGTGGTATTAGGGTTCTGAAATCAGATATGGGATGTTATCTGCAGGTTTGGTAAGTAATGTTGTTACCTTAAAAAGAATAAAGAGAGGTTGCCAGGTGCAGTGTATGCTTCATTTCAAATTGGCAAGTAAATCTGTAAAATCTGGAAATCAAATTTCAGGCAGCGGTAAGTAAATTCTGCAAAAAATGATGTTATAAACATACTCTTGTTCCTGTAATCTAGTTTTTGGACATTAGAGCATCTCCAATGGGCTCTCTAAATGATATCAATCCATGTAAGGAAGATATTATGGATGACTGGTTACGGGAAGGATTGAAGTTTTTTCTTTTTTGGGTTTCCAATACCTGATAAAAAAATATTGACATCAATTCATGAAACAGCCATAAAATCACATGATAGATTTCAAAGCAAGTTCCACAGAGGCATTTGAATGGGAAGACATGCACCCACAAGTCATTCTAATGGCCATACCAGTTAACGAGCAGCAACCATATACTAACACCTGCAAGGCATTCCAATACGCATATATTATATATACCAACACCAAAAACCATTCGGTTAGCGAAATTCCACTTTATATATTGGAAGGAACATCCAAGCACTTTCATAAATGTATAAGCATATTGCATCTCATCCTTGTTCGTACTTGGTTTTGGACAACTTACATTACCAATTGTTTGCAAAACAAACCCAATGCATAAACTCAACTTTTGCCATGCAGCCTCCTCCAACTAAAATGAAAACCAATCATCCAGTAAAAATGAAGGTTAAAGTTCTCAAATAGTTCGGTGTACATAAAGATCATACAGATGATGAGTAATTTAGTAGTGATCAATTCCATGATGCGATATTTTCTTGTACCAAACAGAGCTCTAAAACTTAAGAGTTCCATAAAAAGTACGTAGGATTTTCTCAGAGGGAAAAAACAGTTCCCCTGTTGATACTCTTCACCCAAGTTCTCTGAGTTGCAAGAGGTCCAAAACGTATACAGTTCCAAAAATAATTCTGTGCTAAACCTATGATCATAACTGTCACCATCAAGAACCATAACGAGAATAATTGCTCAACAAATTGCACCTAATTGACAATAAACCATAATAATCACATTGGGAAGAGACTACTTCTCCAACTTAATTTGTATAAAATACCATCACGAGATCAATAAATCAATCAATTATCCAAAGCTTAATGTATCTCTACACGAGACTTCCACATAGTACTCGACACACAAGATGGCTAGTGACACAAATACACATGCTTTGTGAAGCAGATTCAGATATATAACTGATATTGATCAATACCTTAAGGGGCAAAATTAAATACCCCTTCGTGCATGCAGTTATGAAAAGAAAACTACAATTCAGGCTTATATGAACATAATTGATCCGTTTTCCATGCGCAGGAGGTACATTAGAACGCTGCAACAAAAAAGGTATTTTAATTACAACAGCCACTGAACATTGTTAGATCCATTTTCTGTTGATACTAAAACAAGACTACTGCCAAAAACACACAAGACTGTTGCCAAGCCTATCTCATAAAGAATAAAAGCAGCGAAGAAACACCAAACCCTAGTGACTTATCATTCAACAAAAAACAGACTTTGGTACAAAGCCTAAGGTACCTATTCTTAGAGGCACGCGGTATGCACCATGCCTAAATTGGCACTAAGCTTTAAATTTGTCTCTTTTTTTAAAAGAATTTCACGCTTTGAAAGCAAATAGGGATTGGAAGTGGACCGAAAGCTGGAGAGAGTCCACTGGTTCAGATTAAGACAATAATTCGTAGCTGCCATAATTCCAAATACTTTGGATGAATACACACCAAAAAGAGTAAAGCTGGTGTACTATACTTACAAGGAAGGAGGCTTTCTATGTATGCGTTAAGTCCGCCGTACACGTGTTGAAACAGATCTTCATTCATCAAATTCGTCCCAAGTTTGGACTGTTCTGAAAGTAAGGATAACTGGCAAATGGTACACACAGATCTTATGAGAGGGAAAATGCACTGTGATTGTTGCAGGGGAAAAAAAAAGGAAGAGAAAGAATCAACAATCTGCATGAAGAAGAAAGGCCTTCATTGATTTATTATCAAATTTACAATCACATAATTATATAAACCAAAAGAGAGCCTTTAAGAAGCTCAACAGATTTATATCAAGTCAATAACGAATCCTTTTAACCAAAGTATAACTACAATATATTGGATCTTGTTTACAACTTCATCAGCAATGCCCTCCAGTTGAGATGTTTGCTTCTCTTCAAGTGAGTTGGCAGGCTTAGCCTGAGTTAGGAAATGTGAATGAGTGCAAATGGATGGCAGGGAGACATGAACGCTACCATACTAAGCCCATGACAATAGCCACAGACAAAAATGGGAATACATGCATTTAGGATTTGCATATACGAAGGGGACTTGATTTGCTGCGAGATATATATCATAGGACTCCAACCATGTTCTACCTAAAATTAAGGGTACGGTTCTACACGACCCGTTAGCAGGCCATTAAGGTATCTGGCTTCACAGCTTCTTCTCCTAGCTCTGCTTATCATCAGCTCCTGCAATCAATATGACTGAAATTGAATTAAAATACAAAATACTCTATATACCGAAACATGACATGTAGTCCAAAGATCTAGAGCTGAATCTATATGATGACAGTAGTTGATAGGTCCAAGTTGGAATATTCTCCATTCCCCTGTTGATTCTTTTAAACCAGGGACAGAGTACGTACTATGGCTAAATTGACACTAAGCACGCTTATAAAGCAAGTAGGAAGCATTGGAAATGAACTTAGACTTCGAGAGATCATCCACTTGGTTCAGAGATTAAGGCACACAAATAAAAAGAAGCCATATATACTTACAAGGAAGGAGGCTTTCTGCGTATATTAAGTCCACAAGAGAAGGCTTTCTACAAGTCCACTAGAGAAAGTTTTTCAAACAAATCCTTGATCAAGTTCATCCCAAATTGGTCTATTCTGCGAGAAAGGAGAAAGGTGAATGTTAAATAAGGAAATCTTATAAGCATGTTCCCCCTCTTCAATTGTTGCAAAAAAGAAGATGTACAATGTGCATGAAGAAAAATGGCCTTTCATATCTATTATCAGATTTTATATACAACCAAGTGAGCCTTTAAGAGCTGAACAGATTTAGAGCTCATCAATAAGTAAACCTCTCGACTAACTATAAATACATGAATCATGTTTACAACTCTATCAACAATGCCCTCCTGCTAAGATTTTATATCTTCAAGTCAGCTGGCAGACTCCCTTCCTTCTTCTGCTCAAATAAGTAGCTAGCTTCCCCTCAGCCCGTATTATTAGGAAATGTGGGAACATGTGGATTTGGAGGCATCTTTCCTGTGTTTCAAGAACTGTCCCATTAATGCCTTGTTGCCTTTGAAAGTTTAGGGTTAGAAGGACCCTCAATCAGAGAGGAAGTAGAAAGGAGATATTTCTGAGAGCATTGTTGAAGGAAAGAATCATTCTCAAATATGGCAGATAAGCATTCGGAAGCCCCAATTCCTGATGGCTGGTTTCTGAAAATTCTTTGCTGAGATTGAAGGCTGTCTCCCAAAAATGGCTTTTGTTGATTCAAGACAACCACTTTTCCCAACATATGGACCAAGCCACCCTTTTCGACTCTTTTTTATCTGTATTTGCGAAAACAAATGAGATGTACTTCATATTAATATCTACGGCTGAATTTATATGAAACCTAGAACTTATAAAATTTATTTGTCATATGAACCATATATTCTCAAAGGGGATGTTAATTTTTCACAGTTTGAGTCGGAAAATTAAGATCAAATTCATCTCAACCTGAACCCTAATGAGCTAAAACATTTTGTAAGTTCAGGGGAATTGGTGGATAAATGAAAATAAGATAAGGAAATATACCTCTTCTGGAAGATCATCGATTCGATAATTTTGAACTCTAGCTAGGTCAGGCTTTCCAATACCAGCACCATCATCGTCTTCATCTTCGCATTCAGAAGCCTCACAAATTTTCACCACTCTCTCTCTCTCTCTCGGTTTTTTCTTTAAGACTTTTTATCACAAAACGTTTCTTAGGTTTGCAAAACTATCACGTTGCGTCCTTTGTGTTTTTTTTGTGTCATTTGTGGTCTTTAAGGTTAATACATGTGCTCACAAATAGTTTTGCCGCCAAGTTCCGTTTAAAAATCTGTTAAATTGATGACGTGACACACATATGGATCTCACATATCCAATGATATGATGCCACATGGATTAAATAAAAAATACATTTGAAACTTATAAAAATTTAAAAAAATTTAAAAGAAAAGAAAATATATTGGAAAAAAAATACACCAAAATCATAACATTGGATATGTGAGACCCATAGTTTCACTAAAACACCCAAAATGGAGGTTGAAATTATAAAAAAACCAAACACCCAAAACACTTTATAAACACACCCAAAACCCATCATTACACACACTCAAAACCCATTTATAAACACACCCAAAAAGTTGACTTTGGGGTTGATTTTGGGTGTGTTTCTATGTTTAAATAGTACTTGGGTTTTTTTATAAATACATGTCTAGGATTGGGTTTATTTATAAATTTGTATTTTTTTAATGGTTTATAATTTGAAATTATTTTTTAAAATGTACTTTTTATTTAATCCACGTGACATCATAACATTGGATATGTGAGACCCACATGTATGTCACATCATCAATTTAACAGATTTTTGGACGGAACTTGACGGCAAAGATTATTTGTGAGCACACGTATTAAACTTAAGGACCACAAATGATGGAAAAAAACATAAACGATGCAATATGATAATTTCGCAAACCTCAGGGATGTTTTGTGATAAAAAGCCTTTAATTTAAAAAATAGTATAGCCGGGCGGCTATACCCGCTTTTAAAACTGTTTTAGTATAGCCAAAAATAATATAGCCGACCTGTAGTACGGCCGCCCGGCTATACACGGTTATTTTTTATTTTATAAAATTTTTTTATAGCAGCGCAGCGATACTTGTTTTTTCCTAATTTTTTTAAAAAAATTATAAGATTAAGTAGCATAATATGGATTTCTCTTTTTTAAATTACTTTAATTAGAAGTTTAAAAGTATAGCCGCCCAGCGATACTCTATAAATATAATATTCTAATGATATAGCTGCGTGGCTATACTCCATAAATATAATATTTTAATTGTAGAGCCGCTCGGGCATACGCCTTGGATATAGTATTCTAATACCCCCAAAGAGAATATTTTAAAAGTATAGCCGCTTGGTGATACTCCAAAAATAGAATATTCCAAACGTATAGCCGCTCAGCTATACGCTAAAAATATAATATCTTTAAAATGGTGCCTTGGGGAATAATATAGAGTTTCATGTCATCAACTCTGCTAACTCGCCATCTATTTCAACTCATTCATTTTGTTTAATTCTTACACACAGCAATACAATGCATGCTTCAAGGTCTGAAATTGAGCAATGTTTGTATTTTTACTGCTTTAGTGCTGCCTGGGCTCCTATCATGTCTCCACTACATCAACTCAGAAAACTGATGGATGGGTCCGATATACTACTTATGTGTTAGGTAGATTATGTTATATTTACCTAGTAATTAGGTACATTATTTTATATTTACCTAGTATTTAGGTACATTATGTTATATTTACCTAGTATTTAGGTACATTATGTTATATTTACCTAGTAATTAGGTACATTATCTTATATTTACCCAATAATTAGATATATTATATAATATTTACTTAGTTGACAGGACCCGCCTCGAATTCCTCGGAACCCAAGACGAATCTTGTGGAATTCCCGACATCACCCCGATGTTGGGCCCACTTATGAAACTATATCCTCTTTTGCCAAAAAGGAATAAGGGCACAAGACTTTCTACCGAAATTTCAGCAGAATCTCCTTTGTAAATTGAACATTTCCCAAAAATTCCAACCTACATAAAACACATTTAATATTACCAACCGATAACATGCACAAGGTAATTTCATGCAATTCACAAAATCGGCCTCTGGCCTTCAAATAATCTGAAACCAAACTACCAACATGCGAGGTTTTAACCTCCTAACACAATCACAAATAGTTCTAAACTCTCCTCTGTTTCAAACAAGTTTCAAGACCAACGCCAAGGTAAGAACCAAACTCAATAAAACAACAAGAGTAAAGTTTAGCCTGCGGTTGCACCTAGGCACTACCTTAGGCTGCCTATGTACCCTTACTAAGGGATTAAGCCACTCGTAGTTCTTTCCACAGAAATCCCGGTTCCAATAGCATACAAACCATTACAGCCATACCAATTCATACATTCTAGAATTTACTTCATTCCCTTTTTAATTTAAATCACAACTCAACAAACCCAATCTTTTTCAAACCTCTTTCTAATAATCACATAATCTCCCCATGTGCCGGAACATCCAACGCCAGAAAATCCTACGCCATGTGCGACCTACCATCTCATATCAAATAATCTCCCCATACGCCGGAACATCCAACGCCACGTATGGGGTCTGTCAACATGCCGGAAAATCCTACGCCACGTGTGACCTCTCATCTCATATTACATATCACATAGTCTCCCCATATGCCGGAAAATCCAATGCTACGTATGGGGTCTGTCTCAACGCCGGAAAATCCTACGCCACGTGAGACCTCACAATCACAGGATGGTACTTACAGTGGAATCAAACGTCTTTATATCTTTAATATATAAATATATAAAATTTTCCCCAATAAATAATATACAAATTTATAAATAAACCCAATCCTAGACATGTATTTATAAAAAAACCCAAACACTATTTAAACATAGAAACACACCCAAAATCAACAATTGTATATTTTTTGGGTGTGTTTATAAATGAGTTTTGAGTGTGTGTAATGATGGGTTTTGGGTGTGTTTATAAAGTGTTTTGGGCGTTGGGTTTTTTTATAATTTCGGCCCCCATTTTGGGTGTTTTAGTGAAACTCCCTAAATAATAATACTTATTTCCGATTTCCCCTAGTTTAAAACAATGAACTAATATCCTAATCCCACATAATCAACATAATTCAACTAACAATCAAGACCTGTCTCTATGGTCATTTTAATCCTCCTGGGAGGGTGAAACTACCCCGGAAGAATCACGGTCAACCAAGGGTCAAACTACCCCAAACTTGGTCAAGTGGGCCCACGGGGCCCACGACCTCCAAATTCCGATCCGAAAGTTCCTATGGGTTCTACAAGGTTTAGGACACTAGTCCTGCAAGTTTGGTCCAGATCGGACGGTCGGATCACTCACGATCGCACGATCGGACGGTTACTGTAAACCTAGCCCTAGAGTTGGCATTTTCAGAGTATCCGAGACTCCGTTTTACGATCCGTCGAATCCTACACAATCCTAAGGATGTCCAGATTAACATATTATAAATTCAAGACTATCCAACGGTTCAAACCTATCGAACCCAGATAACGCACAATATGCGATATCCGTTCGAGACTCAAACGGTATCCAAATTGAAATCCGAGCACACCTACGCACTTGTGAGGCCCAGGAGATCACCTCGGGACACAATGCCCTTTTTCTACAGTGCCCATGCGCCGGCAGCGTGTGGGTGTCCAAAGCGATTACGCTTCGCCGTAAAATCTCAAAATCAAGGTTCAAGACTCCTACCCTAGGTATAACACCTTATTTGGATCCACTTTTATTCTTGGACCTACCCCAAAAAACTGACCGGAAGTGGCCGGAATCGCGATCTCAAAACCGGCCGAAATTCAATTCGAAAATCAGACAATGTAAACTCAAAATTAATGAAATCCTACCCAACCATCAGCAAGATTATGAAGAAAGGATGAATTTCCATACCTTGATCGCCAAAAATGGCTGCCGGAGGAGAGAGATCAAAGCCGGTGAAGTTTTGAGCAAAAATCGGCCTAAAAACCACATTTTACGGCCGCTGGAGCGGCGGCCGATGTCAGGGAAGGGCCGGGTCATGATGTTGGGGTTGAGCCGGTCCTTTTGGCACCTGTCCCGTCCGCAGCTGTGGCCGGTGTCCAGAGTTTCGAAGAGAGAGAGAGCTGCCGTTGCGAGGAGAGAGAGAGAGCACGCGAGAGAGAGAGAGAGAGAGATGAGGGCTTTTTTGACTTTTATCAACCCTTTTCGCAATATTTACGATTATGCCACTGAGGGTATTTTGATCGTATCTCTCTCGTCACAACTCCGATTCGAGCCCACTACGTGTCTATGAACTCATCTTTCCGTGCTCTATGCAATGGTATAGTCAAAATTCCCAAATTTCTTCCCGGTCAAAAAGTCAACTTTAAAACTTATAAAATATTATGGGGGCAAAATGGTCTTTTATCTAAAATAAGATAATATTTACCCATTTATTTAGGACCGGGTCGTTACGTAGTAGTCAGGTAAATATTTGTTGGAAAGATATCATCAATAATTCTCCTACTTTCATTGTTTTATATGAACTTCTTTTATGTCATGGCGGCAATAGAAGGATTGTAAATTTAAAATATGAAATCTATTTAGAATGAAAGAACCGATATATTAATTTTGATTTTCAATTACTATTCTTTCCTTATTTACCTCAAAGGGTAAAATTGACACATGACAAAATTAATAAAAGTCAATGGATCCAAATCTACAGCAAAAAAGGTGTGGACTAAACCCAATGACGGCTAGGAATTTTGAATTTAGATAAAAGAACCCTTAATAATTTTTTTGATATAAACCAAAAGAGAGGCTTCAAGTGATCATAAAAAAAAAGAAAAGAAAAGATAAAACAAGAAAGTGGTAAGTTTCTTTCTGTCGATTTTTTGGTGGTTTGCTTGTCTTTTTGCTTTTAAAAGTTTGGGGGGAATGGATTACCTATTTAGTTGATTAAAGAATTAATTAGAATTAGAATTTAGAGTTTCCTATTCCTATTCCTGTTCCTCTATATTTAAATTGATGATATTTTTATTGACAAAATAAATTTAAAGAAAAAAAAATTACAAGAAACTGGACTAAAGCCCAAAATTGGAAGACAATTATTCAACAACAGGGCCATGAAGTTATAAACATAGGGGCAATTCAAATTAAAAGTCAAGCAATGTAAAAACGAAATAGAGAAACCATATCAGCTTTTTAATTCTTGTCAATATTTTTTTGTGAATTTATCTTTCATTTGTTGCACTGCAACTTGAAAAGGATAACACAATGAACTTGATTGGGTTTATCGGTATTTTGTTTTGGTTAAGATTGGTGTATAATTTTATCCTATCATACTAGTTTGAAAACTAAAATGAATTAATAGATTTGTGTTAGTACCGTAACTGACCAAGCAACTAGCTAAACTAGATCATCCACGTGCCATGCTTTGAGAGGTCATCACCTTATCCAAAGAAGCATTACCACAAGTCACAACTCTAAGCAAAGCAAGAGGACTCCCACATCGGAAAACTACAAGAGATGAAGACTCCCCCTCGCTTATAAAGAAGACTACTCTCCCATGAGAAAGGGATTCTCTCTTTTGGATCCCTGGGCTGGGCTTTATCTTTAATCATGGGCTTCCCCCTTTCTTATCTTTATATTTGGGTTCAACCCCATGTACAAATGTAATCATACATTATTATAATGAGAACGTACTTCTCCGTGGACGTAGCCCATTCATTAAGGGTGAACCACGTATACCTCGTTTTTCTGTATATTTATTGTTTGCCCTAATCTTGACACACATGCTAAAGGTCCTCACCTTCACCCATCATCCACCATTCCACCTCTATCTAAGTTGACCCTCCCAAAAAGAGCATCAACAATTTGGCGCAGTCTGTGGAAACTGACACAAAAGGCTTCTGTCATTCTCCCCTTCTTCAGTGCCCTTCGGCACCCATACCCACCAACATCTACTCATTGACTGCAAGCAAAGCATCTCACGCCTGTTCTTATCGGACGACAAACACAACAATCACAAAGCAGCCTTAAGGTTCTCACCACCAACTCATTTCAGCTTCTACAATAAAAGGTGGGACCCATGACACATGGTTCAGAAGATAAAAATGTGGGAGAAGCGAACCACACACGGGATGAAGAGAAAGCCAGCACAAGTGTTGATGCCTCACAATGCATCATCTGCAAAGATTATCTCATATTTGAAGACTCTCCATACCAAAGCATCTGCACCCACAGCAAATTACGGATACGAGCTCCGGGCCAGCTCCCTAATTCCTTGTCCCACCAAGAACAGCACCGCTGATAAGAATTCCAATAAGCCCAATGACAACACTCTTACAACTCTGTCAAATGACATCTACTTGGAAAAATTTTCAGGACACCTAAGGTGTCTTCATAAAAATAGGAAGGAAACATATTGCATGCAAAGTGCCGAAGCCTTGAGAACTCGTAGGAACTCGCCCATTTTCAGCTTCCTTTGTCAGAGTCTCCTCGGCATGGCCCTTACCGATCGGTAAGGCAATATTGAGTCGACATATGTGGGTCACCGTACAACAGACCCCATCAAGAAATTCAAGAATTTTCTATGGACACCCATACACCTACCATTCGTTAGAACATGATTGAGCTAACTAACGTGCCTAGACCTCCAACTGATCGGCAATTCAATACTTTATGTCTCATAGCTGATGACAGCCCCTTTCATGGCTCCAAAACCTTCCAAACTTGTTGGAGTTGATTCATCTTCAGCTCACTCCGTCAAAACCTCTGGAGCTCACCACTTGCCGAACGCTGGGACTTGCGAACCCGCATAACCAAAACCGCTCCAAGTCCTCCTTACCGAAGCAAGACTAGCTCCAAGGAGCACCCGAATTGCAGGCTTAGGCCCAGTCCTTGCCGAACCCAGCTCCACCAGCTTTCACCCCTTGCCGAAACCACCAAGGTATCCTGGCCCGGCTCCCTTGCCGAATGACAAGGGTCATGCCCAGGTCCAATCTCATGCTAACATTCTGAAAAATTGAAAACAAAGGGGGACTTACAAAAACAGCAAAGGAAGCTTGCCGAAACAGCCCCAGTTGCAAGGCCCTCACTCTTTGCCGAAGGACCAGTCGCAAAAATGTTCCTTCTTAAAAATTCCCAGCTCCAAGAAGCCTTTTGTCACAAAAAATTTTACCCTTGCAGAATGGCAAGGGCCATGTAGAGACTATGGAGGTCACCTTTCAGAAATCACCAAAATCGTACGCCCATTTTGGCTCATTGCCGAACGAGATGAAGGTTCAGAATACCTCTCTTGGACACAACTTATCTTGCCGAACGAATATTTACACACAACTTATCTTGCCGAATGGCATTTAAGAATGGAGATAGAGTCGAGAATACCTCTCTTAGATGAACTCTCACCAAAACTCCTTTGATGGACCCTGCCGATCGGTAGGTGCTTTACCAGTCATTCGAACCAAGGGAGGCTCACGAAATCACTGGGTTGAGCAGAAGTAAATGCATGTTCACAAAAGTGGCAAAGGACCCAGCCGCCACGGAAGTTAGACCGTCCCTTGCCGACGCTGTTATGCTTTGAAGCCTCCTCTCCAAAACACCTCCCTATCGAACATGCGAGGGTCCTTTCAAAACGGGAAGCTCGTGGTGTGAAGCAACGGAAGACCAGCTTCTTGCTGAAGAACCAAGACGCCTGAACCACTCTGTACATGCTGCAGATCTGAAAGGAACCTGCAATCTCTCCCTGGGGAAACAAAAAGCCCCAGACCAACGGAGACAATGCAGAGATGAAGTTCTGAAGAGAGAAATGAAAATTCTTCACTTGGCTCTAACAATGGCCATTTATCAGTCTTCAAATTCAAGAACAAAACTTGTTCCCATTATCAGACTCTAGATCAGTAGCTGGTGAGTGTGGGAGCAGATATTTTCGTCTCCAATCACAGCACGCCACGTGGAAAAGAAGATTATCTCTTTTAATTAATTAATTGAACCAGTTTATCTGGCCAATTAATTAATTGGGATAAATATCTTAATTAAATGATATTATCTTTATTTAATAAGATAATATCATTAATTAAGATATTATCCTAATAAAGAGAAGATAATGTCATTATCTCAGATATTATCTTCATAAAAAGAGATAATATCATTTAATTCAGATATTATCTCCATAAAAGAGATAATATCATTAAATCAGATATTATCTCAGTCCGACTCGATCCCTACGAATTTGGGTAGAGAATAAACTCAGCATATTCTCTACGAAACCCTAGCCCCGAGGCTCCTATAAATAGATGACTTCATTCATCATTCAAGGTACATCTAAACCTACTCCTTATACCCGAGAAAAATACCCGAAGCTCTCTTTCTCCCTCTCCACTCTCCATATTTTCTCCACACGGCTCCGGCCACCACACACGGCTCCGGCCGCCCGGTTCACACCCTACATAAACACTACTCCGTACCCTTTGCTTAGCTATTGTTTTTCTACAAACACTCGAACTAACTTAGGCATCGGAGGGCCTTTGGCCAACACCCCCGGGTGTGGTCTATTTACTCCAATCTGTTTTACAGGAATCGAGGAAGAGAGAGAAGGAAGATCGAAGGTTGAAGGATCTAGAAGCGAATATTCTCCCGTGAGATTATTTGCACAAACATTTGGTGCTTTCATTGAGAGCACGAGTTATACTCAACGCGTGCTCAAGGAATCCGTTCCTCCTATTTTCCAATCCACCGAAGCCTTCCAAACAACCATGGTTGGAAGCAAGCGCACGAGGAGTAAAACCGCCGCGATGGCTCAATCCGTGACGGCCCAAAGCCACTCCACCCACGATCCCGCGATCGACATGGTGGCACCACCACCTCTCGCCACCGTGCCACCTACCGGACCCGCACCGGATCTAGCAACCTCCGTGGCACCGCCGCCGAACATGGTGGAACCTCCCATCAAGGTGGGCTCGTTACCACCACCGACTTAGGCCCGGTCTTGGAGCAACTTCAAGCGTTCCCTCCATTGCCTCCACGCTCGACGCACGCTCCTGCGTACACCTCCAATGAAACCCTAGCCCGTGTGCAATTGGGCTCCACACGCTTCTCTCCTCCCGATCCACAAAGTCAAGCAGATCTTAATCTGAGAGTTGACCAGCTAGCTCAGAGAGATGGACGACCAAACCAATCGGTGAGGCAGCTCCTCAACCAAATAAACTTGGTTCAAACCTTGGCCTTGGACAGCCGGGCGAAGAGAGAAGGATGGATGACGACACCGATCGGCAGCTCGATGGGTACAAGCAGGTCGAGCAGGAATGGGCAGACAAGGAGAGGACAATAACGTGAACAGCTTGCCGGCATGTCACAAGCATCTGCAAGCCCACACACAAAGCTACATGCGAGAAAGACTCGGCCCACCCTTGACGTCACGCTCGCCTTGGGCCCGCAGCAGGAAAATATTCATGAAATGCTAGGTTCCCAGGGAGGTCAAACGGACCATCGTGCGCAATAAAGGTCGTGAAGAGAGGCGCTTGGCTACCCCGTCTCGCAGAAGAAATATTAGGCCCCCAGGGGAGGAAAGAAGAAAGGCACTCCACTCGAAGCTTCTAAGCACAGAAGGTCAACGCGCTAAAGTGTCGGTCTCGTAATCGTCAACGTGACCGACTAGCCATGTGTGCGGAAGACGTTGAGAAGCTTGTGAATAATCGACTTTCGAGACTTAAAGATTGGTGGAAATTTCGAAGATGCACTACGTGTTGGAGGTAGACCGAGCAAACTCATCACCTTTCACGTCGAAATTGAGCAGGCTGCTCTCCCGAAACAATTCTCAACGCCCTCTTTAACATGCTTCAAAGGCGATTCCGATCCAAAAGCCATCTGAAGCATTTCAAGAGCCTTATGATCCTCTACAAAGCTGAAGACGCACTAATGTGCAAGGTGTTTGCAATGACTTTGCAAGGGGCAGCTTAGGATGTTCCACACCCTGCCATCCAGGTCGATCAGCAGCTTCAAGGAGCTTGCTTATGTCTTCACTAAAGAATACACTTCTTATCAGTCGATCAAGAAGAACCTGACCATCTATTCAACCTGCACAAGAAGTCCAATGAATCCCTGCGAGACTACATCAAGAGGTTCAAAGCGGAGAGGGCAAACATTAGTAGGATGTGATGACCAAATTGCGTTCTCTGCCTTCAAGAGGGGGTTGCCAACTGAATGTGAGCTGTATCGCGAGCTGACCATCTATCCTCGCCAAACACTAGTAGAAGTCTTCGCTATAGCAGAGCGCTACGCATTATGGGACGACAACCGGATCGCCACGAAGAAGGCTAATCAAGTAGCTGAGCAGGCAAGCCAAGAGAACGGCAAGCGCAGATCACAGCCTCAGGAAGGTGCTCCAGCAGCGGAGAGCTACACCAAGTTCACTATCCCGATACACCAGATCCTGGCCCAAGTAAAGACATGCCTTGGTTGAAGAAACCATCGCCTTTAAAGGGAAACCCAACCAAGAAGGATACCAGTAGATACTGCACATTCCATGAAGGGCACGGTCATTACACAAAAGACTGCTTCGCCTGGAAAAGGCACCTTGAAGATCTAGTCAGAGACGGCCATTGCACGGAATTCATCGCAAGGAGGGCTATCCAGCAAATCAAGGATTGTGACGCAGCTAACGATGAACCTTCACGAAAAAGGTCATATGGATCAACACGATCCTAGCTGACTCCAAAAGCCCAGACTGACCACCAGGGGGCAAAAGAGAAAGATCAAGCAGGCGACTTCCGTCTCCTAAGCCTCACTAGCTACCAAGTTGTGGAAGACGAACCTTTCATCATCTTTCAATGGAAGGAAGTTCTAAGACAATGAATACCCCATCACCTCCAAGGGTACTATCCGAAGCTCTTCACCATCAGCTCGGCTCTAAGCAGGCGACCCAAGCCTTCCTCACCTCCATTGAAGACAAGTTACTTTTGATGTTCAATAGCAATTAGTCACAAGACATCAGACAGAGTTCAAGCTTTTCTTCCAATGAGAGTACGTCCACAAAACGCAGTGACAGGTTTCCGGCAGTAGGCCAAACAGCCCATCATCGACACATCGTTGGCGTAGGCCACGGGGTCACACACATACGACACGTCTCGAGACGTAGGCCAAACGGGCCACTATCATCGACACGTCTCCGGACATAGGCCAAACGGACGCACTCTCAGCACACGCTAGGACGTAGGGCTGCCCGAGAGGCACACATCGAACGTCGCAGGAGTCGCCAAATGGGTCACACACATCGGACATGTCGTGTACGTAGGCCAAACGGTGCACCTACTATCATCGACAGTGTCCGTGACGCGGCCAAAGGGTCACACACATCGAGACATGCCCAGGACGTAGGCCAAACAGGGCCACATCAATGCACGCCCTCTCCAGGACGTAGGCCAAACGAGGTCAACACAGTCGAACGTCTCGGTGGAGGCAAAAAGGGTCACACACATCTACACGTCTTCTGGACATAGGGCCAAACGGGCCACATCATCGACGTCTTCGGACGTTAGGCCAAACGGGTGGCACACACATCGACACGTCCCGAACGTAGGCCACAATCGGGCCACTATCTCGACACGTCTCGCGACGTAGGCGCCGGGAACGGGTCACACAACATAGACGTCTCTGACGTAGGCCAAAGGGCAATATATCGACACAGCGGCCTCCAGCCCTCTCTGTATGCTCCCCCCCGTAGGGGCCCAAACGGTGCTCATTATCATTGAATTGTCTCAGGACGTAGACCAAACGGGTCACACGCATCGGCACTTCTCGTACGTAGGCCTTAAAAAAAAAAAAAAAAAAAAAAAAAAAAAAAAAAAAAAAAAAAAAAAAAAAAAAAAAAAAAAAAAAAAAAAAAAAAAAAAAAAAAAAAAAAAAAAAAAAAAAAAAAAAAAAAAAAAAAAAAAAAAAAAAAAAAAAAAAAAAAAAAAAAAAAAAAAAAAAAAAAAAAAAAAAAAAAAAAAAAAAAAAAAAAAAAAAAAAAAAAAAAAAAAAAAAAAAAAAAAAAAAAAAAAAAAAAAAAAAAAAAAAAAAAAAAAAAAAAAAAAAAAAAAAAAAAAAAAAAAAAAAAAAAAAAAAAAAAAAAAAAAAAAAAAAAAAAAAAAAAAAAAAAAAAAAAAAAAAAAAAAAAAAAAAAAAAAAAAAAAAAAAAAAAAAAAAAAAAAAAAAAAAAAAAATAAACTATCCGGGTCTAAGTTGTAGGGCCAAATTGGCTTGGCATTACCAACTCTGTATTCTCTCTGATATACAAAATCTAAGGGGTCAAATTCTGTGACACCATCAACTTCCAACTCCTTGGCCCTCCGGAGAATACCATTTGCCATGTACGGTACCTAACACACGCCAAAGACTTTTTGTATATAAAGTCAAAGTTCGCACATGCCAATTGACTTCATGTTATTGTAATATTTCTAAGATACAGATGGTACAAAATCAGTACAATAGCACCAGCTAGGGAGCTGTAAATCTCAATGGTCCATACAAGAAGTAAAAAACAGACAATAATATGCAGTTACCTCATGGAATTGCAGTAATGAAATTCAACACCTACTGCTCGGTTTTTGCTGATAATTTTTGGATTGTAGCTCACTGCAGAGGTGTTGAGCTAATTGCCAAAAATGGAGGACCACATCCTAATCATCAATATTTCAGGCTTTTTATGCAAACATACAGTTAACTCAGGGGATTTAGTCCAGTGGTAGGATGCTCGCTTAGGGAGCGAAAGGTCCCGAGTTCAATTTCGGAATCCCCATTTCCTTTTTGTGTGTCTTTGTAGTAGAGGGAAAAACTGGGAAAATGTTAATGTGATACCTTTGTCACCAAATACTATTAGTCTAATGGTATTTCTTTTCCCAACCTCAGGAGAGATTCTAAGTTCGAATCCCCAGTGTACTTACCCTTAACAGCGGTAAATAATGAGCTTTCTGATACCAAGTGGGATGGATATTCAACAAGGTGCTAGAAGAAACTTGTTTTGTTATGTTCTTTTGCTGTCATCAAATTTGAAAAAACAATAACAAGGAGTTTGATAATTGTTGATGACTTGAAGGATGGGGCAGAGAGACTTGAGACTGGTATGAGCTCAGCAACTGCGTCATTTGTAGCGTCTTTGCGCAAACACTTTACATAAAGTGCATGGAGGACTCAAAGATCGCAACAGCTTCAATAATTATAATTAAGAGGCATTTGTCAAGCTTAATCAATTGGTCTTTGCTGTCTCATTGAGGATTATTGAAAATACATTTGATGTTAATTATGTTATTGCAAGTCCTCCTTCGCATCGTAATTTGTCAACCCTTGTGACGATATAGGTATTATACAAAGCTCAAGCTTCCAATTCTTTATACTTGCTTTAACTGAAAGTCACCCTTATCTTAATTCTTCTTAATAAACTGAAATCTATTTGCTAGCTGGGTGACAGTGTGTAATTAACCTAAGAACCAGCATCCAATGTTTTCTACTCCTAATTCTCAAGATATTACTGGAGTATGAAACAATGCTAAGACTGTGTATGCAGCTGGGTTAATTGAAAGAATAATGAGGAGACAAGAAAAGACTTATAACCACCACAACAACCTTAGAGATTACACAATGAAGATCTATAACTTTTCTGACTTATCTGAACAAAAATTGTTTTATCTTAACCTACTTTGAGAAAAAATGCTAGATTTCAGCGTATCATGTGGGCACTAGGATAGGGCAAAATGAAATGACTTCAAAACTGTAGAAATTGAAACCGTTAGTTTGTACTCTTTGGATTCAGAATATGATGGGACTTTGCACAATTATGTATAACTTGGATTTCTTTCTCACCATGCATATATGGAAGACAATATCTGTGGGGTACACCATTAACATTGGTAACTGAACCCAACAAGAGTATCGTAACTTCATGGAAAATTCCCTTCTTACCATGTAAGTAGGAGCTCCTACATTCTAGCTAAGAGCAGTGTGACATGTATGCATAAGTTGTTGTTGTTTATAATGAATTATTTTTGCATATATGTCAAACTGTGATTCGCAGGAGGGAGGAATATCTCCTTATAGAGAAGGAGGCAAGCAATATCCGTAGTTCATAACCCACAAAAAGCAATTAGTATGTGCCATAAACTTTTTATGCATATAATTGTTACTCTGTTAGAGCAAGAGGGCCTAGCTAGCAAGTCAAATTCATTTCAAAATATATTTAAGAAATTAACTGAGCTAGCTAGCACTAGCAGTAGCTAGCACCAACCAATAATACCGTATTAATATATGTATTTAAGCACAGAGAGTCCATGTTTATCCTGTTATTAGGACCACCTTTACCAGCTCTATACAATAGTCTTGATGAGGGTTGGTCTTCTTGATGATGAAATGCAACCTTTCTTTCTTTCTTTTTTTCTTTTTTCTTAAAAAAATAAAATAAAAATAAAATCTCATTCTTTCTTTTGGCTAGAGGATGGAATTGCAGTGTCAATGCAGAGATTCTAAAGTCCAGAGAAAGACAAGCAGAGCTTGTTTTCTTTCTCTCAAAGATCTGAGTCCATTTGGTGATTAAGAAATTAATACTTTGAGGGACTGCTTTTGAATTTTGATAGTTTCCTCTTGTTATTTCTCCGTGGTTGGGGTTCTGGACCTCCCTCTTTCTCCACCTTGATTAAGAAAGTCATTAACACATTAAAAGGTCAATCAGTGGTGTTTATTTTAAAAGGTTTGAAATCCCTATGCATTTTTCTTTGCTTTTAAAAAAATTCTTTTTCTCTTGTTTATTATAATACTGCCTTTTTCCTGTTCTTTAATATAAATCCTACGGCCCCTATCCAACTTGTACCTTAGGGCTTTTCTAGCAAAACTAGGCTTTGCTGGGTTTTTTTTCTTAATATTGAAAATAATATGAGAATAATTCTCATCTTCTTTGTATTTTTTTCATTTTCCGAAAGGATTTTCATGGTCAACTACAAGTAGTTCGTGATCAAGGTAAGTTCTGCTAATTGTGTGTAGGTTTTGGTGGAGATGACACAAGGCATTTAAAACCTTCAAATCTGTTTTAGCTTATGATAGGCTCTTATATTTTTAGTCAAAGGGCATGGACTTTCCTGTACCAACTGAGAGAAACCCCTTGTCACTTATAAGTCAAGGGAATGGATATGATTATGTACAAATGAAAGTACTATTTCCAACATTTTCGTACTCATTAATTAAGAAATGTATACCCTTAATTTCCCAACATTGTCAACACCAGCTTAGGTAAACACATCTAGGTCTGTGCCAAAGTTCTTGCAGAAGTTTCCTAGTTTTCCGTTGCCACAAGAAATATCTGACTTTACATAGTTGATTGCAGACTAATCAAAGTCGTTAGCTGTGATTATTTAGAAGAAACTTCCAACAAAAATCATGGTATTGTTTCTATAAAGTTACACTCAATTTCGGTCATATTAGTCGGCTTAATCACAGTGATTACGGTCCTTAACCCACAATTATACTGGTTCAATTTTATTATTTTATCCCAAATGCCTTATTAAATTGAAAAAAATTTGCAGCCAGCATTTTCCTGCATACTGTTTATATGTTTAATCTAACAATATATCAGAAAAGCTATAGAGGTTAGCTAGGGTGGCTTAAGAATGGAACATTTCAAAGGATAATAGGATGGAGGCTTCTTGTGATTCACCAGATTCAAATAATAAACAACTAATCCCGGAAAAAAGCAGTTTAATTTAATATTGGGAAAGAAGAAACTTGTGTCGTACTTTGTCCAGTTGCATGCATTGTTAATTATATATGATCGAACTAATCCAAAAAAGGAAGAGAGAGAGAGAGAGACAGACAGACCTGATAAAACCCTAGAGAAGAAAATTGGGGTTGAATAGTGAGGAGAGGGATAGATGAGTAGAGGTATTTGACTTTTTTGTCCTCATAAGCATCACATCATCCACTCTTCCTACCTATAAATCTTAGTCTTCCTTCCCATTCTTTCCTAACAATTCAGACAGCCTTCTTTTGGTACTCACTTTCCTTGAAGATCTTAAAAAGGAAAAAAAGGAACAAAGAGAAGAACATCGATCGAGATGGGACGAGCTCCGTGTTGCGACAAGGCCAATGTCAAGAAGGGACCATGGTCACCTGAAGAGGATGCAAGACTCAAGGCCTATATTGAAGAGCATGGTACTGGTGGCAACTGGATTGCCCTTCCTCAGAAAATTGGTAAACACATATATGCTCATCTATAACATAATTTGTTCTTAATGTTTTTTTAGAAACTTGTACACAGATGTCAAAGCATCATTTAATTTGACCTTTTGGTGGGTACGTAACTTGCAGGGCTTAAAAGATGTGGAAAAAAGTTGCAGGCTGAGATGGCTGAATTACTTGAGGCCCAACATCAAGCATGGTGGATTCTCAGAAGAAGAAGACAACATCATCTGCAGCCTCTATATAGTATTGGAAGCAGGTAAAAATTAATTTCACCCATAAAACTTTAACCTCAATATGTTGTCTCTTTTCCCTTGTCTATGATACTTGCACAATAGAAATAATTAATTATAACTCCTTGCTACCCTATGCATCTCATCCAATAGTACAATACAGATCATTGATCCACTTTCCTAGGGTTTCCTTAGTTTCTTCTTGTTGGAATCTAACATGCTCATATTCTTTTACTTCTAGGTGGTCTATAATTGCTGCCCAATTACCTGGAAGGACAGACAATGATATAAAGAACTACTGGAACACCCGATTGAAGAAAAAGTTACTCGGAAGGCGCAAACAGTCTAACATCAATCGATCGCCGTCTGGTCAAAGTGAGGATCACCTCAAGGACGCTGAAGATGCACATGCCTTAAGCAGCTCAGCCCTTGAAAGACTCCAACTCCATATGCAACTTCAAAGCCTTCAAAACCCTTTCTCTTTCTACAACACTCCTGCACTGTGGCCCAAGTTGCATCCTTTGCAAGAAAAGATGATCCAGACCCTCCGATCCATGAATGATCAAAACTGTAACAACCATCTGATGCACCATCATGCTCTCTCAAGCCCTCATCAAACTGTTGAAGGGCATAAGAGTAATAGTGATGTCTATGAACAACTGCAACCCACTTCTGCTTCTATCAGAACTCAGGAAGAATATGCAAAACTATGCAACCCCAAGAATATGGATGAGTTGGAGAATGCTTTGAACGGCATGTCATCTTCGGATGCCGCATATCATGCTTACATCTCCACAAGCAATCAAGTGGACTCGACTATTGTGGTGACGAAAGCTGCCGATGGTATGGAGCATTCTAACGATGCAGGAACTCATGATCATCAGCAGGTTAATTCGAGCTTCCAAACTGAATTTGGAGACATTCTTAGTAACAAATCTGTTGCTTACACACCACAACAGGAAGATGATCAAATAACTGATTTTGATTGTTTTACGGAAATGAATGGCTCCAAGGACAGCTTGGTGTGGTGGGCTAATGAGTTTGATGCCAAATCTGCATCCTCAAACTCCTGGGATTCTACTTCTGTTCTCCAGTCTCAAGGGATGTTTCAAGATTATGAATTGCGTTACAACCTGTAGTTATGAGTGATAGGGACGAGTAACGTCATATAGACCACGTTTATGGACCGTATTGGAGACTGCACCACTAATAGAAGATGAACCCACAAATATGAGAGGGTCATACTTCTATCAAAGATGCAGTCTACAATCTGGTTGACATAGGTGGTTCAAATAGTTTTAACGAATAGGAAGTTGGGTATGGTAATTGTTCAAGGTCATAAGAATATGCCATGCATGTGTTTTGTAAATTGTTTGAAAAATAATGTCAATATCTTTTTATTGTGTTGCCAAATCTGTTTGACATTCACAAAAGTTTTGCTCATCTACTTCACTGGGAAGCTTTAAGTAGAGGCTCACAAAGAGAACACATATATTAATTTCTGATTGCATGCTAGCTAGCTAGCTAGTGGTTCAGTACTGCTTAACAATATATTCCCCTACTATTTATAGATTGCGAGTAAAACAACCAAGAGGTTCCTTCGAACTAGTACCAAATTTGGAATGCCCTAGCTAGTAGTAGCTCCCAAGATCCAATCACCCTCACGCAATCCATTTTTAATTAGAGTTCGCAGTAATGTGGTGAGAAGAACTAGCAGAGATTAAGTGGTCATTCTTTTCGGACACTTTCGTATGACAAAGCTGCTTTGTTTTGTTGCAAATTCCATACCCCCTTCCAACTTCTCTGTAAGAGCAAGACCTCAAAGCACAACACAAAGTAGACGATTGCAAAGACTTGCATAACTGATAACTGCAGGTCCTTGATTAAAACTTGAAAGGGTAATTTATATCCTTTAGATCCCAATATCCCACCTTGGAAAATAAAAATAGTTTCGACTCATCATAACTCTTAATCATCCATTCCTTGCGAATTGTTATCATAGTCAAGTTATGTTTGACGCATCATCTCAAACAAAGGCAATCAAACGATAGCCTCAATAACCATGAACACTGGAATCCACTAGAGATGTGACAAAAGTATGAAGTTTTATTAATTCTGAAAATTGGGATAACAACCTAAACCCTTAGCTAAAGTTGAAATGACTACTGCCTCAAACCCTAGAACCTCTAGGAATCCAAATAGGAATGAAAAACATAAATAACAAAATTTCAAAAACGAGCTCAAAACTTAAATGTTGTTTTGGGCTAGTAAACGTCGTTAAATGCCCAAAAAAAGCCCATATGTCACAGCAAAACAGTGATTTGACTCGTGACATCATTCTCTTCGAAACATTGAATCATGAGCTGAAATCAGAGCTCGGCGCCAAAACTTACAATTTACCTGATATGCCCATACGAGAGCGTCGCTCCAATTCTTTTTCGATCACTTCCCCTAACTGTTCTACATCAAAGTTGTGACATTAGCAATGTTTTACTGCTCAAATTAGAGAAATACCAATTTTAGTTTTAATGTTTATTCAAGCAAGGTGGATCTTTCTTGAAGTTTCATAAGTGAGTTTTGTAAAGGTTGTTGTTTTTCAAGTGTGTGATAATTAACTTGGCTTGAAATTTGCAGAATTGTTTCCTGCTAGTGTTTTGAGTCCTATTTGGGTAAGTTTGGAATTCGCTGTTTTGTCGAGCTTGAGTAAATATTTCTAGTGGAACTAGGACTCGCAAGGTGTGAGTGACCAAGAAAAATTAAGTGCCTTTGTCCTAGTTCCAACCGTACGAGTGACAAAATCTACATTGGCCCAAAGTTGATGGGCTCAAATGAAACAATTATTGGCATGGCCCGTTGTCATTTTCTTTAATGTTCGACGCAATTCTAAGCAGTAAATTTAGCAATAGCTACTTCACTTTCCCTTGCCTTAACCTATGCATGGCCAGAGATATCTATATTTATCTCATCAAAATTTATCTTCCCCGCCAACGAGGATTGGTTCAGTTGGTAAAGTCCTTGCACTGTACGTAGTCCCATCAGTGTTCAAGTCCTATTGTCTGTAATTTCCTACATAAATTCATACTAGTGAGAGTAGCCAATCTTTCCCTAAACTTTTTTTTTTAATCAAAATAATTACAAATTTATCTTCCCTTGCCGTAAAATATATATATATATATATATTAAGGCTTTTTTACCTGAGAAATAACCTTGTTAGATTGTTAGAGGGTAACAGTTTACTATTCCGATACTTTAGTTAATCAGTCTGTTAATAAGTCCTATTTATTAGGGACTAGTTGTTTGTGTTTTTATCAAATTCCTCTAGTCTGTTACCACGTTTTAGGGTGTTGCAAACGTGGGCTGTTATTTTGATTTTATCTCTTTGTAAAAGGCTTTCATAAGCCTGCAGTTTGTTATCAATGAAACAAGAACTTTTCATTCAAGCTTGTGTGTTATAATTTCTTCTGAGTGTTCCCAACAAACCTTGTATCAATTGAAAAATTAATACGTAAATTTCATATTCTCAACCTACATAAGCGATAGCAATGTCAGAAGAAAACAACTTAATTCTGTCAATCACGAAAGGAAAAAGTTGAAAACAAAAAAAAAAAAAAAAACAAAAAAAACCACCACATAAAAAAAAAAAAGAAAGAAGAATACTCATTACTTACTAATAAGGACAACGAAATAAGTTCATAATTAATGGAAAATAGCAAGGAAATTAATCCAAATAAAACATAAATAAAAAGTAAACTAATTAATAATAGTTGATGCGGTTGTTGCTGGACTTGCTGCTGGAACCCTTGTTAGGGTAAACAGACTTGGTGACCTTCAACTGGGTTTTGTACTCCGTAGTGACCCCTTGCTGCTTGTCCACAAACTTGTCATTGCAAGCGTACTTAGCCTCCTGCTTGTAAACCGTCTGCCCCGATCGATTGTCCACGTACTCTCGTGCCTTGTAGCTCTGTGTGAAATTGCTCGAGGACCCTCCATATTGGTCTTTGTACGAAGACCTCACTTGGTTCTGGACCTCATTGGAGACGTTCATCTGCTGCCTGTTGCTGTTGCTTGAGGGCACGGCCTCCACAAAGCCACAAAAACCAGTAACTTCATAGTTTTTGGCCATTATGCGATTGAGAGTTTTTTTTTTTTCTTTTTCCAAGCGATAGAGTATATGGTTGGTTATTTTGTGAAATGGAAGTGGCTTGGTTTGGCCTATTTATAAGCCAGGAGAGGAGTGAACTGTACGTAACTACGTAACGGTTTGGTTTTATCTATTGATTATTTTCCGTTTTTGGACTTTATATCTACTAAATTGTTTTCTTATTATCTTAATCTTTTATCTTCTTTCATGTCGATTTATATATAGAGGGACAATGGGAATTTGGTTAAAATTTTAAAATACCGAAAATACCCTTGGTTAATAAAAAAGTTTTTGGTTTTTGGTTTTGTTTTGTTTTGGTGGAATAGATCTATATATATATATATATAAAGCAAAATGCAGAGAATGACAAAACATTCAAAATACCAGAAAATGTCATATGCAAACATTAAGAATTGAAATTATTAATTAAATGAGGATAATATAGTAAATGAACACTTTTTCATATTAAAAAAAAATTAAAATAAAAGAAAAATCAGATAAGAATCCTATTTTTATGGGAACACAACTACCTATTTTTATGAAACACAACTTACCCATTATCTTTTAAAAAAAAAAAAAAAAAAAAAAAAAAAAAAAAAAAAAAACTACCACCACCCCCCTTATCTTTTTAATTCTAAAATAAATTTAAAAAAGTCTTTTCCAGACTCGAAAGAGCGTGCGGAGAGATTAGTACTTTATTAAAAAATAATAAGCATAAGAGTGTTCAAAAGATGACATTAAAAAATAATAAGCATAAGAGTCTTTTCCAGACTTCTTTTTTTTGGGAGAAAGAGGACTTGGAATTAGTATTTTAGATGTCATTAATTTTAATAAAGTATATTTATTAAAATTATCCTTCTTAGGGCTTTCTATCTATTATTATTTTTTATTTTGTAACAGTGCAGAAATAAATACACACAGAAAGTCAGGAGATGTTACTCGATAGTGGGGGCGTCGTGTTTCTGTGATAGAAAGTAGGTAGAGGTTTCAAGGCTTTATTTACAAACCACGATATAGGAGTAAACTGTAAAACTTCTCTGCCACGGTTTGCATTATCCATTTATTTTCCGTTTTAATTTTTTTTTATCTAGTCAATGATTTGTTCATCCTTAATTTATCCTTTTATCGTTTAGAGAAAAATTTCTATCAAACTATTTTCATAACTCTTTCTTTGTCAACCAAAAAGCATAAAATATTGATTTTTCTCTATACATAAGAATATATATTAATCATGTGAGGTTTTTATTTTTATTTTATATTATATATATTTATATTTTATATTTTTAATGTTCCTTTTTATTTTGTTTGGTGGAAAAAGTTTAGGGGAAGATTGGTTACTCTCACCACCAGTGCTAGGGCAGACCCACAATCTCGAGCCAGAAGAACTTATGCGTGACACTCAATTATCAACTGCCAGCTGTATGGATTTATGTTGGAAATTACAGATCGCGCACCAATGAGGAGTGCTGGCAGCGGGATTCGAACACTAGTGGGTCTACACAGTACATGAACCTTACCAACTGAACCAACCCTCATTGGTTTATGGTCCTTTTGTTGCTAATTACTATTAATTATACTCTTATAATATTAGTTTATTTTCTTTTGATTTTTTTTCCTTTTTATAATAAAAGTGATAGTCTAAATTAAGAGAGGGAACTTCTTACACACGCTACGTACCAAAGTGTCATGAAAGTTCGGTCTTGGTCGACAAATTAAGGAGAAATTACTCCAACTTAAGGCTCTCTTTTCATTGCGCTAAACTCCATTGGCTTTTTTTAATTTTTTTGGATGAAGAACTCCATTGGCCCTTTTGATTTTGTTAAGTAAGGCTTAATTGGAATTTTGTCAAAAGTTATTGACAATGGGGGAAAAGCCACAAATAGTGAAAAAACTTTCGATTAAGTAAAAAGAAAAGGAAAGAATATCGCTCAATTCCAAACAACTTTATGTGATATTATCGAATCTACTTCGCACATTGATGACGGGATTTTAACGGTTGACGGTGACTTTAGTCCATTTTCCTTCTAGTTCTAGTAGCAAATAATGGGAAAAGAATTACTCCAATTAAGTTAAAAGAAAAGGAAAGAAACCAAGAACGTGCCCTGAGTCTAAGCAAAGCACCTTGATTCTCGACTTCAAATCTATCATATTAACCTAAAATTACTAAACCCACTATTAATTCACGAAAGATGCAAAATAGTTGAATAAACAGTTAGCAGATCCAACAATCCCACTTCGGTTTCTCCTCTCACATGCACATACAAACTATTACGTATGATAACAGTAACTAAAATAAGATTTATATTCGACATTTAAATAAAGCTTTTTTCATGAGAATGAACTCATTAAAACCATTGTATTCATCAACTAAAAGATTGAAACGAAAATGCAAATGCAATGTGTGTGCCCGCCCCCTCTACCCCTTCCCATACATCAGATTAATTTACAATGTCGCTAATTATATTTAAAAAGAAAAATAGAAACAAAAATTTTATGGGAAAAACACATCGTAATCCCATCCACTTGTGATACCAAAGTGTAGTTTGATCATCCTCGCAATTCAAGGACACATGGTATTTTAACAAAATTGGAAGAAAATTTGACAGAATTTATGACATGTCCTTGAATTGCAAGGGATTTAAAACTATATCGACAAAAGTGACCAAATTAAAACTACGGAAACCAAAGTGATAAAACAGATAAACAAAACTAACAAACAATGAGATTTTGCTAAAAGATAATTATGAAATCAATTCATAACAAACTATCATAAAAAAAAAGAGACATAAACCAAAAATAGCAAATAATAAGGAAATCCAGATACACACAATACTACTAGCTATTAGCTAATACTTGATGCGACTATTGTTTGACTTGGTTGCAGACTTGTTAGGGTAGACAGAGTCCTTGAACTTGACTTGGGCCTCACGCTCAAAGGTGTAGCCTTGCTCCTTGTCCACATACTTTTGGTTGTAGGTGTACTTTTCCTCTTCCTTGTAACCCATTTGCCCAGTGCGCTGGTCCACATGCTCTTGTGCCTTGTAACTCTCCCTATAACTGCTTGAAGATCGACAATATTGGTCGTTGTATGACGATTTCACTCGGTTCTCAACTGCATTAGAGACGTTCATCTCTCTGTTGTTGCTCGAGGGTACCACCTCGTCATAGCGAACATAAGCATTTTCGGGCTCTTTGTCATAGCCAATGTAAGTATTTTCAGGCTCGTCGTAGACAAAACGAGCAGCTTCCGGCTCGTTGTAGCCAGCATAAGCAGTTTCCGGCTCGTCGTAGCCATAACCAGTTTCAGTTTCGGACTCGTAGATGGCCTCGATGTAGCCAGAATAAGCAGTTTCAGGCTCGTAGTCCATTATGTGATAATGAGTGTGCTTTTTTGTGTTTGAGTGTGTTATTGAGTGGGTTGTGTGTGAACTGGAGAGGCTTGGACGCTTATTTATAAGTCACTAGGCGTTGGTGATAAGCGTTATCATCGTATTAATTACCGTTGAATGAATGTGATTTTAACGTGTTATTTAATGCGGTGATAATGCTCACCATCCTTAATAGGAAAAAAAACTCTCTAATTTTAGGATCCTAATAAACCTTCCGAAAAAAAATAAAATAAATTCGGATTTCCCAGATTTGGCTATTTGGTTGCATAATGATAAATAATTATATTAGGGTTTAGGAATTTCTTTTTCTTTTTCGTAATATCTTGGTGAACGTAAACTTCTCGAGGAATTTGCAAAATATTAAATGTTGATGAAATGAGAGATTTTCCTTTTGTTTGACTTTCATTATATTAGTACCAGTTGAAAAAGAAAGATTTGATGATTTTCAATTCGCAACAAACTTTCTGATCTTATGGATTCTATATCTTCCACTGATCTTGCTTTGCATTGAAGGGAGTCCATTTTCCCTACATTAAATTTACAAGGAATTTAACATTTTCTTTTCTTGTATGATTTATTGACATTTTTTAATTAATGTGGCTGTCCACTTCATCTACCACATAAGGTGGTATAAAATGTGGTAATAGTAGTATTACTCTTTTTCTATGCATGGAAAAAAAAACCTTTATGTACCTTCCGTGTATTTGGTTTGTTAATTTTCTTCTAATGACCTTTAGCTGAAGTTAATCTTGTGCAATCAAAAAAAGGTTGTTGACAAATGCTCGTGTGCTTTTTTTGGGCCTTGTGTTCCATTGTTAACCAAAATAAATGCTAATACTCACCACCAATCAAGGGGTAGCAAATATGCTCTCTAATTTTAATGCTATCGCAATGGTTGTTGAATTATTTTGGCATCTATTGAATTGACATTTGGGTCCTATGGTTAGCCTATTGCAATTCAATAGAGGGTTCATCATATAGAACCCTCTATTGGAATGAACTAAATCACACCATTGCAATGAGATTTTATTATTTTAGTTCAATTTCATGCAATAAAATTGCACTAATCCTAAGCCTATTGCAATTCAATAGAGGGTTCATCACATATAACCCTTTATTGGAATGAACTAAATCACACCATTGCAAGTGAGATTTTATTATTTTAGTTCAATTTCATGCAATAAAATTGCATTGATCCTAACCATTGCAGATGCTCTTAGCAGTGAACGAGTGCATATCCTTCCAATCCAAGTAGCAATGAAAATAATACATAAATAAGCAAAAATAAAAAAATTCATTTCCATTATGTATTTAGCTATTTGCTTGGTGTGATAATGAATAAGTAATAATATGAGTATAGGATTTTCTTTTTCTTTTTCGATAAGGGAAGTAATATATATATATATATATATATATATATATATATATATATCCAAAGCGATAAGGGTGTTGGAGGGGGAGGGAGGGGGGAAACGAAGAAAGTAAGGAAGGAATGGGAATAAAAGGTGATGAAATGAAGGACTTTTTGCATTACTTTATTCATGGAATTTTATTTTTGCATTATAAATAGAAACAATGTAATTTCAGTCAAGAGTTGTCAATTGAGAATTAAACTAAGTATGTGTTTGGAAAAGTAGAAAAGAGAATTCCCATCAGGAATTGTGAACAGGGAATTCAAAGGAAAGGAAGGGCTTTGATTCAAGCTTGATGAAATCTGTTGTGAGATTTGTAAGTGTTGAGTCGGAGACGTTGAATTTGGGTTTTGACTGTTGGTTGAGTTGTGTTAAAAGTTATTTAGTTCAGTTTGATTAGTTTTTAAATTAAATAATGCTGACATGGCCATGTAGAGACCAAGTCAAGCTGGAGTCCTAGAATGTAGAAGTTGTGCTTTAGTCTGTTCACCACGTTCAAATTTGCTTCCGTTGCTTAAGGTAGTTGAACTCCACAAAATCTGCACTTGTGTGTTAGTGGTTATTGTGGACATTGTTATTTTGTAAGCTTTGTTTTTCAGATATATATAAGAGAGGAAACTTGCAGTATCCTTGTACTGTGAAATACGTTTGTTCAAAGAATCCTTTTACGTTTAAGTTAATTTCAGTTTCTCAACATCTGGTATCAGAGCCCCTTCTGGGCCTGAACAAACTTGAAAAAAGGTGAAAGATTGTGTCTTGTAGCAGCAAGAAACAATGGCAACTGACAAAGCCACTGAGAGTTTTGTTCAACTAGCGATTCCACGTTTTGATTGTCACTACGACCATTAGAGCATGCTGCTGATGGAAAAATTTCTCAGGTCAAAGGAGTATTGGAATCTTGTGGAATCAGGAATTGACGCCCCAGCAGAGGGAGTTGTGTTGACTGAACAACAACAAAAGAGGGTTGCTGAACTAAAGCTGAAAGACTTGAAGGTGAAAAACTACCTTTTTCAAGCACTTGATCGATCTATCTTGGAGACTATACTCGAGAAGGAGACCTCCAAACAAATATGGGATTCTTTGAAGAAGAAATATGAAAGGTCAGAGAGGGTGAAGCGTGTAGTGCTTCAAACTCTAACAAGGGACTTTGAAACTCTACAAATGAAATCAGGAGAGTCCATCACTGATTTCTTTGCTAGAACTATGGGAATAGCAAGCAAGATGAGATTCAATGGTGGCACCATGGAAGAAGTCAAAGTTGTGGAGAAAATTATGAGATCATTGACTCCAAAATTTGACTACATTTTCTGTTCAATTGAAGAGGCAAAGAACGTTGCTGAGTTATGTGTTGATGAACTACAAAGCTCTTTGTTAGTGCATGAACAAAGACTTAATCACACCACTGCTAGTGAAGAACAAACAGCCCTGAAAGCTTCCACTTTTTATGAGCCCTCAAGTTCTCAAGGAGGAAGAGGTTGTGGAAGAGGTGGACGTGGTAAAGGAAGAGGTGGTCGAGGTCATAGAGGTGGTGGACGGTTTGGACATAGAGATGACATAAAGTCATCTCATGTTTTCAAAAGAGATGATGACTCTGAAGAAAAAGGAATGTACCACTTTGATAAGTCAAAAGTGGAGTGCTATAGATGTGGAAATTTTGGGCACTACAAGAATGAGTGCTACACAAACCTACCAAAAGAAAAAGGAGAAAAGTCAAACTTTGTGGAGAAAAATGAGGAAGAGACGCTTTTGATGGCTTTTCATGCACTGACAGAGACTGATCAGGAGACTTGGTATGTGGACACAGGCTACAGCAATCACATGAGTGGATGTAAGTCTTCCTTTATTAATTTGGATGAAAGTAAGTTTTGGTGACAAATCAACAGTGAAAGTGATGGGTAAGGGAGATATTCAAACCAAAACTAAAAATGACTTTATTGAAACTATCTCAAATGTTTTTTATATTCCTGATTTGAAGACAAATTTGCTGAATGCGGGTCAGTTACAAGATAAAGGCTACAGGATTACAATCTATACAGGAGAGTGTGAAGTGTACAACCTAAAAAGAGGCTCCATTGCTATTGTAAAAATGTCTTCCAATAGATTGTTTCCTTTGAAAATCAAGACTGTGCAGGCTTGCTTATTTGCCAAAGAAGATGACCTGTGGAGGTGGCACTACAGATATGGCCATTTGAATTTTAAGGGCTTGAGAACACTTCACCAGAAAGGGATGGTTACTGGCTTACCTGAGATAACTCCTCCATCAAAGGTGTGTGAAGAATGCATAATTGGGAAGCACAAAAGAGACTATTTTCCAAGTGGCAAGGCAGCAAGGGCTCAATCAATCCTGGAGATGGTTCACTTTGATCTATGTGGACCAATAAATCCCATCTCAAATGGTAACAAGAAATATTTCATCTCATTTACTGATGATTTTAGTAGAAAGACATGGGTATATTTCTTGCAGGAAAAATCAGAAGCATTTGAAGCATTCAAAAGCTTCAAAGCTCTAGTTGAAAATGAATATAAAAAAAAAGAAGATTAAAACACTAAGAACTGATTGTGGGGGAGAGTACTGTTCGAAGGAGTTTGATGCATTTTGCAAAGAGAAAGGCATTAAGAGACAGCTGACCACTGCCTATACACCACAACAAAATGATGTAAGTGAGAGGAAAAATTGCACCATTCTCAACATGGTTCGAAGTCTGCTAGTCAAAGGAAGAATTCCTAAGAAGTTTTGGCCTGAAGCTGTGCTATGGCCAGTTCATATCTTAAACAGAAGTCCCACATTTTCTATTAAGAATATGACTGCTCAAGAAGCTTGGCGTGGATTGAAGCCTGCAGTTGATCACTTTAGGGTGTTTGGGTGCATAGCATATGCACACATCCCTGATGAGAAAAGAAAGAAGTTGGATGACAAAAGTGAAAAATGTGTTTTCTTGGTGTAAGTGAAGTCTCAAAAGCATACAAACTGTACAATCCAGTTACAAAGAAGATAGTGGTAAGCAGGGATGTGATATTTGATGAAGACACTATGTGGAATTGGTTTGAGAACAGATCAGTTAAACAACAAATTCCAGTTTATGATGATTCAGACAATGAAGAGGTAGCAGATCCTGAAACTCAAGCCCAACAGCCACCTCAACCTGAAGTTCAGTCATCTCAACAGTTTGAAGAAGAGAGATACAATCTGAGAGATGAGAACTCAAGGAAGAGGCCAGCATGGATGATGGACTACGATGAAGTTATTCAAGTTCTGATAATGAAAATGCTCCCTTTGCATTACTTGTAGACAGTGATCCAATCACATATACTGAGGCTGTTAAAGAGGAGAAATGGAGGGAAGCAATGGACAATGAAATCAAGTCCATTGAGAAGAATCAAACTTGGGAGTTAACTAATCTTCCAAAGGGAAAGAAGACCATTGGTGTTAAATGGGTGTTTAGAACAAAGTTGAACGAAAAAGGTGAAGTTGACAAGCACAAAGCTCGTTTGGTAGCTAAGGGCTACAAGCAGAAGCATGGCATTGATTACAAAGAGGTGTTTGCCCCAATTGCGAGGCATGACATGATTAGGTTAGTGATCTCTCTTGCAGCCCAAAATTCCTGGCCAATTTTTCAATTAGACGTGAAGTCAGCATTGTTGCATGGCAACATGTAAGAAGAGGTGTACATTGATCAACCACCTGGTTATGAGAGAAAAGGAGAAGAAGAGAAGGTATTCAAACTGAAAAAAGCACTCTATGGACTGAAACAAGCACCTCGAGCTTGGTACAGTTGCATAGATGCTCATTTTGCTAAGCTTGGATTTCACAAATGTCCTTTTGAGCACACGCTTTATGTCAAGACTAAGGAAGAAGGTAAAATACTCATGGTATGCTTGTATGTTGATGACAGGACCCGCCCCGGAATTTCCCCCAAAACCGGGGCGGACCCCGTTTTGTTGCCGACATCACACCGATGTCGGGCCTACTACTAAAAACCCAAGACATCCTACCAAAATTTTGGCAGAGTCTCCCCTGTAAGATGCTCAAACCCAACAACATTCAACCTGCATAATTTACATAATATAAATCCCAACTGCCAGCATGCTTTCAACATACAACAATTCAAAGTAAAGTGGCCTCCGGCCTCCAGTAACAACCTAACATGGGCGATAACAGAGCATCTAACAGAATTTGATTACAACAACAGTAGAGTGGAAGGAATTTACACGAATCCTATCTACAGATGAAAATGTTTGGAGCTCGCAACTTGCTTGAGCGCTTCCAAAAGCCACTACTGCCTGGGGGGGCGCAAAACGGAAATATGTGAGTGGACAAAAATAAAGTTTGCATTTAAAACAACATAGTAACCCCACCATGTAAAAATAATGCTCAAGCATGCAGTTTCCACATCCATAAATCAAATACTCAAACATAAAATCTCAAAGTCCAATAACTCTCGAAGATCTCAATCCACAACTCCATTCCCAAAAGTATGCAACTCTCACCAACCCATACATATGTATACATATATAAGTATATATATCTATAATATAACGTATACTTCTCTCCATACTAATGTACCGGGGAAGACAATCCAACCGGGGGATTGTTGGCTGGTACACAGGATTTTCGAACATGAACCCGCGTCCAGGGATGAGTAGTCCAACCGGGGGACGGAACTCCATAGCTCACACGCCGGCACTGCCAACGCCACGTGTAGCTCACAAATCTCATATCAAGTCCTACGCGCGCAGACAGTATCATCACCCCACCGGTACTGCCAACGCCATGTGTGATGATACTAAGCAATATACATACTCTTCCCATACACCGGCACTGCCAACGCCATGTATGAGACTAGCAATCTCATGGCCTTCCCACCACACCGGCACTGCCAACGCCATGTGTGGGAAGCCTAGTAACCAGGGAATGGTACTCACCTAACATACTCATACATCTCACAACCATCCCTCAAACTCATATCTTTCCACACTCTCATAACAACAACTCCTCGTACTCCATACATAGGCAATATAGACAGATATCCCAAAATCCATATAAACATATCCATAATACTCAAACATAGCCATACTCAAAATATATTGCCAATACGTATATGAATATCCAAATCCATCAACCAAATACTTAATAAATCACATTTCCATTTAAAAACATATGCACAAATCTTTTATCAATAAAACCATGCAAATGCTTGAAAACAAAGTCCACTCACAGGTAATCCCACGCTGCCCGGCCCCGAGAGGGTCCTGCCTGCTGCGAATGATCGACCGAAGTACCTATTTCGAGATACGAACTCTTGATTAATATAATACACTTCGAAACGGGAATTTCACAAAAGAGAATACTTAAATCCCCAAGATCCCGGTGCGTGTACGTCCAATAGGATATCCTAAGGTCCGGTTACAGGTTTGGGAATCGCTTCCCATCATACGGTTATCGTTAATCCCACAAACTTTGAATTATTGAATCGGAACATCCGGGGCTCCGATTCACGATCCACGAATTCCTATAGGATTCTAAGAGTACCTAAATCAACATACTTCAGTTTGGAAACGATCCAACGGTTAGAACTTATCGAACCCGAATAACGCACAATATGCGAAATCCGTTCGATAGTCAAACGACATCCAAATTGAGATCCGTAAAATCCTATGCACTCGTGACAACCTAAGGATCTCGTCAGGATGAAAAGCAACTTCACCAGCCTTGCCCACACGCCGCCACACGCGCCGGCAGCGCGCGGGTGTGTAGAGGAATTTCCGGCGACGGAAAATCTCCACACCAACACTCACCCTTCCTACCCTAGCTTCTTCTCAAGGTCAGGATCACTTTATTCAACTACCACGAGGTCCAATTCGCACGGGAACTGGCCGGAATTTCCAATTGAAAACCGGTCAAAACCTAGGTTTCCAATTCGGTTCCAAAACTCAAAATCGATCCAAACCTAAACAACAGTCAGCTAGAATACGTAAAAAGGAGAAGAAAACTCACCAACTTTACCTGAAACAGACGGCGGAGGCGGCGGCGCAACGATCGGAAACTTCCGGTTTGAACCAGTCGATACCGTGGCCGGATTTCGAGCTTTCCGGTGGGGATAACAGGTGGGTTTTGATCGGGACTTCACGACGAGTCGAACGGGATCGGTCTCGAGGGCTGAGGTGGCCGGACGTGACGGCGGTGAGGGTTTTCCCGATTCGGTGAACAGTGAAACACGGGAGGGGGAGGGTTCTGCGCGCTGGGGAAAATCGGGAAAGAGAGAGAGAGAAAGTGTGGGGGTAAAAGTGAAAAATCTGATTTTACCCCCAACTCTTTTCAAATTAATTACGGTTCCGTCATCGAGCTTAATTTGCTCGCCAAAACTTCGTTACAACTCCGATTCAAGTCTACCGCCTGTCTACGGTTTCGTCTCAGTACCACCTACGCAACCAAACCACTCGTGGTCCCAAAATCCTTCTGGATAAGAAAATGACCAAAATTACCCTTAACCCAAGAGTAAATTAATAATTCTCTTAATTTAATTAAAATAGGAATAAATTTGGAGTCGGGGTGTTACAGTTGATGACTTGATATTCACTGGAAGTGATGCTAAAATGTTTGATGAATTCAAGAAGTCTATGATGATGGAGTTTGAAATGACTGATTTGGGATTAATGCACTATTTTCTTGGATTGGAAGTCATTCAAACCACTGCTTGTAATTTCATCTACCAAAAAAAATATGCACAAGACATTCTTAACAGGTTTCAGATGGATGACTGCAAGACATTTGGAACTCCAGCTGAACACGGCTTAAAGCTATGCAAAGACAAAGGTGGAAAGGAGGTTGACAACATTTTCTATAAACAGATAATTGGGAGTCTCATGTATTTAACATACACGAGGCCTGGCATCATGTATGCAGTGAGTCTTGTGAGCCGATATATGGAAAAACCAACTGAAATGCATCTCAATGCAGCAAAGAGAATTCTCAGGTATGTAAAGGGGACAATTGATTATGGTGTGTTTTATAAAAGGGAAGATGGTTCTGGTTTTGTTGGGTACACAGACAGTGACTATGCAGGTGATATAGATGATCGTAAGAGCACTTCCGGTCACACATTTCTGCTCAACTCTGGTGCAGTATTGTGGTCCTAAAAAAAGCAACAGATTGTGACACTTTCCTCAACAGAAGCTGAATATGTAGTAGCAGTTGCAAGCTCCTATCAAGCTATGTGGCTCAGGAAAATATTTGAAGTGCTTGGTGATGTTCAAAAGGGACCAACAACCATCTACTACGATAAATGTCAACTATAAAGCTATCAAGGAATCTAGTCAAGCACGGGAGAAGTAAACACATTGATGTACGTTTTCATTTTCTTCGTGATCTGTGCAGTGATGGGAAGATTGTACTTGAATATTGCAAGAGTGGGGAGCAGGTTGTAGACATCTTAACTAAGCCTTTGAAGCAACCTGCGTTTGAGAAGCTAAGAAGCATGTTGGGAGTGTGTTATTTTGAAGCATTGAACATGAAGATGATTATGTGATGGTGTAGAGATCCTAAACTGTTTTTCGTAAAAATCAGTTTAAGGGAGGGTGTTAAAAGTTATTTAGTTCAGTTTGATTAGTTTTTAAATTAAATAATGTTGACATGGCCATGTAGAGACCAAGTCAAGCTGGAGTCCTAGAATGTAGAAGTTGTGGTTTAGTCTGTTCACCACGTTCAAATTTTCTTATGTTGCTTAAGGTAGTTGAACTCCACAAAATCTGCACTTGTGTGTTAGTGGTTATTGTGGAGATTGTTATTTTGTAACCTTTATTTTTCAGATATATAAGAGAGGAAAACTGCAGTATCCTTGTACTGTGAAATATGTTTGTTCAAAGAATCCTTTTACGTTTAAGTTAATTTCAGTTTCTCAACAAGTTGTTGGTCTTTTTTTGCTGCTCACGGCTTCTCCATTTATAGAGGAAGGAAGAAGCTCCATCTTCATATTTTAATTTATCTTCATCATGTTATCGATCACCTAGTGGATGTCTAGTCCCATCTGCATATAAAAGAAATCAAAAGAATGCAAAGTTTTTTTTAATTTTTGTGTGTGGAGAAATGCTAGGATTGCATTCATAATTCAACCAAAAAGCCAATAGTCACAAAGGGGTATTACAATAACGGAGCGGTCTAACATCAAAATTAAGACAATTTAGTGCGCCTCTACTAAGGATCAAAGAAACTCTGACGTAGGCATCCCAACTAAAATTGCAAACTCAGAATAATAAAAAATAGATAAATGTTGAAAATAATAAGCCATAACAAAGCAAATAAAACTCTCACAAATAGGAGATGAAAAGTGCTAGTACCGTAACTGATCGCGCAACTAGCTAGGCTAGATCCATCCACGTGCCATGCTTTGAGAGGTCATCACCTTAGCCAAAGAAGCATTACCACAAATTACAACTCTAAGCAAAGCAAGAGGAGTCCCACATCGGAAAACTACAAGAGATGGAGACTCCCCCTCACCTATAAAAGAATACTACTCTCCCATGAGAAAGGGACTCTCTTTTGGATCCTTGGGCTGGACTTTATCTTTAATCATGGGCTTCTCCATTCTTATCTTTATATTTGGGTCCAACCCAGTGTACAAATGTAAACATACATTATTATAATAAGAACATACTTCTCCGTGTACGTAGTCCATTTATTAAGGGTGAACTACGTATATCTCGTCTTCTTTATATTTATCGCTTGCCCAAATCTTCACACATATGCTGAAGGTCCTTACTTTCACCCATCATTCACCATTCTACCTCTATCTAAGTTGACTCTCCCAAAAAGAGCATCAACAAAAAGCTCTCACAAAGGAGAGATAAAAAGCTTTCACAAAGGAGAGATGAAAAGCTCTCACAAAGGAGATGTGAAAACTACACAGAGAATCCAAAGAGTCTCTGTGAATTATTCTGAACATAAAGAAACCTTACAAAGGATGGTGGTGGAGATCCGACACTGAGATGCAGCCGTCTGTGATGATTGGAGGAAAATCATAACAAAATGAAAACAAATAGGGAAAACTTTTTGTTTCTGAAAATGAGGGAAAGAGAGAGGGAGGAAGAGAAGAGGGGAGAAGGGATATGGGAGGAAGAATAGTGGCTTCCTTCCCCCTCAAAGGGAAAACAGTTGTAGGAGGGTTTTTTTTTAGAAAAAGGGAACTAGGGTTTGGTATATTGTGTGTGTGTGTTGAAAAGACCGCATCATATGAAAGTGTTTAAGTGATAGCAATTCATGCTACTGGCCTGACAAAATAAATAATATATTGGGGACACAACTTGTCCCTTCATATATATATATATATATATATATTATATTGGAAGTTTGAATGAAATTCAAGGACTTTTGTTCCACATTGGTATAAAGAAGAAAAAGTGAAGTCTTTATAAGTGTGGTAGTCCTACACTTAGTAATTGTAAGTTGGGCCAAGTAGAAGCCTTCAAATTCGATTTGGGCATTAAATATTATGTAGATAATATTTAATATTTAATTATAAAAAAAATGGGCCTTGGCCACTTCATATTTAAATTAATTTTTTTTAGTTTCAAATTAATAATTCTTAATATGGTTTTAGAAGTCTATTTAAATCAGAAGAGGCCTCATTCGTTTGACGCAGAAAAAACATTCTACAAGCACATTCATATTGTCTGAGAGGAAAACAAACAAAGTTCGTTAGATTCTAAGTCCTAGTGCTAGGGCTTAGAATATAGATAGTTGAATCCTAAGAGGCAGTCACCTATAAAACTTCAAGCACCAAAAAAATGTGAAATTACTGTCTTTAGGACATTGTATCAAATCTACGAACCTTTATCTTGAATCCAAATCAGTACTATATTTCAAATTACAGTCGGTTAGAAATTCAATTTCGTTGGTATATATATTGTTGATATATAATAATTTTTATTAGTCACTGATCTAACATTTTATTCCTTCTCTCCTCTTCGGAGTGGTGCACATGGGCTGCCAATTATTCTTTATTCTTTCTTTATGTTGGCTGCACATCTTTTTCTTAACAAGGCTTGTAAAGATAATATTAAAATAAGAGGCATGTGTGGCTTTCTCAATTGGAATGGGTAAGTAGCTTCAATATTCTTTATTCCCTTCCTCCAATGAGATAGTGTCACCTGCTGAATCAAACCAAGCTCCCACGTTATGGCTCTCCATTGATGTAGCTAATGAAAGTTGGTTAGCAGCATGTTAACTCCTTTTTGAACATGATTCAATGTAGGACATTCTGAGAAGGCTACACTTATCCAAATGCTCCCATATTTGGATATGTTAGACTAGACATCAGGGAAAACAATTCTCACGAAGAAGTCAACTTCATTTGAGAAGGGGAGAAGGGGAAACAAGTAGAATTGCTCTCTCGTCACCAGTGTCATCCATTTGAACAAGTTTCAGTGTTTAGCACTCTGAGAATGATACACTGATTGAATTTCTTCCATATTTGGATAAGTTGTCGTAGACATCTGGAGGGACAACTCTCATGAAGAAGTCAACTTCATTTGAGTAGTGGAAAGGCCCTTTCAGAAACTATTCATGGGACTGACAGTCAGCTTCAGTGTTTGTCCGCTTAAGGCCGTTATACTTGTCTAGTGGCTCCCAACATTAGATATGTTGTAGAATACATCTGTGGGAACATCTTTCATGAAGAAAGCAAACGCCATCGGACACTGTAAGTCCCTGTCAGACACAATATATCTTACTGCAGCTGACTGATACTAAAATGCCTCTTGAACACGCTTCAGTGTTTGTCCATTGGAGGATGCAATACTTGTCCGATTGCTGCCAAATTTGGATTCGTGATAGTAGACGCTCAAATGAACAATTTGTAAGAAGAAAGTGACTTCATTTGAGCAATGGAAATTCCCAGTCGGCCACAATGCAGCTGACTGCAGCTATGCTTGATCATGCTTGGCCATGTTTTTGGCTATATTCTAGTTCGAAGAGCAATATCTCCTATTCTAGGCCAATAATGCTATTTTTGATCTAAACAGGAGTTAAAGGATCAAATTATCACTTTCTAAGAATTTGATTAACCTCTTTAAAATTTAAAGTCAAACGTTAAAACCCTCAAGCAGAAGCAAAAAATGAAATAATTTTGTCCAAAAAATGAGTCCAATGACTGAAAAATGTGGGCCTATCTACAAAGATTAGATAAATTCTATTACATAATTAAGAACGAATACGATTACTAACAAGTAAAGGATGAAAGATGACATAAATAATAGACGACCTTACATCCCTTACATATTAAATGGATACATTTCTAACAACAATTAACCACAACAGCTACCCCAACAAGAGCTCCAACAGCCACAAGGGGGGCAGCACATGCACTTGGTAGAAATGCCGCTACAACTGCCGGTATCAGCTTTGGCAGCAACCACATTGCCACTGATACTGCAGCTACCTTCAAAATCTGAAACCAACTCATTTTTGCATGCAATGGGATGTTGGAGAAAGGCTTTGGGAGCACCCTTACTTTATAGGACTAATTGGAAGGGCATGCATGCTATTATTTACCTAACTCTTCGATTATTGTAGCTGCATTGAATTTGTTTACTTCTTTGGAATTCAAATTTTCCATGTGTGCATGGGTACGTCAATTCTCAATGTGCATTGGAAACTGCTTCTGACCGAATACTGCTAGCTAGTCAGTATGGTTTAATAGTGTACAGTTGGGAAGTTCGTCAGAAAAAAAGATTGCTACTTCTTATATTTTAACTAGGGACACAGAAAAGAAAAAGAAGAGCAACATTCTCGATGCATTCTTCTGCATTAGTAGAATTCCTGGCTGCTGTCATTTTTTATGAGTTTTTAACATATTGACATCTTTATTATCATCCACACATTCTAAAATGAGCCATTAGCAAACCACCAATCTTGTAAGGGCAAAAAGCGCGGCTGCAACAATCTTCTTGAAAATCCGAAACCAATCCATTTCCAGTGACCAGTACGTACTAATTGTATATAGCTAGCAAAGTGTTTACTGTTTCAGCTGGATGTCGCTTCAACAAAGTGGCTCCTCATCCCAATTTCTTATTGGTTTGAATAACATTTTTTTTTCTTGGTTCAGTTAATGTGCAATTCGGTATTTCAAGTAATTGTTTATAAGAATTTTTTACTCTAGTCCTTTATATTGAAGCAAATTACAATTTTGTGCTCGTTTACAGATGTTTTGTATGTTTATTAGGGTTTAGGCAGTGGAGAATTTGGGATTCAAAAGTCAAGTAGGCGAAGCTTACATTAAAAACTCGACGTTATGAGTGAATTTCATTAATAAACTTAAAAAAAACACCTAGCTAGTCAAGGAGACGTAATGAGCATTACCCTCAAATATGTATATTTATACAAAGTGGCGAAGCCAAGTTTTCATGTGTGTATGAGTCTCTCACAAAATATGAACAATAAAAATTCGAATTCTTACAAGACATACAAAAACATAAAAAATCATATTGTCTATTTATTATAATCATAATTGCCCTCGATGAGTTTTCATATTTTGAAATCATAAAACAAAATTAAAATTCACCAACACAAAGTTCACAATTGCAACAAAGGGACATACAATTACATACTAAGCAAGAAAAATTATAAGGGATAGACAAATACATACTTGGAGTTGAATAGCGAATTAGCAAATCTCTCTAAAAACCCAATAAAATCAGTAGAAAGAAGAAATCAATAAGATTAGATAAATACTATTACATAATTAAGAACATATATGCTTCAATCTATTAAGAGCAAAATATGGGCAAACAAACCTTCATAAGATTACCATTTCATAATAAAGATTAAAGACAACGTACATATACTAACATGACAGAAAATTAAAGACAACGTACTATTCCTAAAACCCCATAAAAAAAGTTAGGGCTTGTCCAATATAGATCCATACATTTTCTATTTCCTAGACATATACCCATCACTCTATAAATCTATGTGTAAAACCCAATTTCAAATTTAAATGACCAGTAGAATATAAGAGGTCGTAGTATTTCTATGTTTTTACATCGTTGCCACTAAACTTCATATTTTATTTATAATTTATTTCAAGCATTTCATTAACTGTCATAATATAATATAAATATATACATATAAAATATAGGTATCCAATAAATTACATATCCAATAATGTACCTATGAAAAATAGGTACATTATTAGAGGAAAAAAATAGGTAAGTTATTTGGAGAGAGAAAATAGGTTCATTTAAAAAAAATTACTTTTAATAAAACAAATAATAGGTACTTTATTCAGAGAAAAAAGGCTATATTATTTATAGAAAAAAAATAAATTACTTTATTTAGATAAAAAATAGGAACATTATTTAGATAAATAATAGGTACTTTATTCATAGTAGGTATATTATTCAAATGGTAGGTACATTGGATGACATATAATACCTAAATCCTAATTGTAAGTACATTAAAATTAATGTAGGTATATTGGATGTCGTATAATGTATGTATATTGGAATAGATAATTATGTACACTTTTCATACTAGGTAAATTATATTTTTCATAAAACAAACAAGTAATAGGTACATTATTTTTTCAACATAATTAGTATGTATAGTTTTATTCATAAACAATTATAAAGTGGATTATTAGTCATGTATAATTCATAAAAAGAAAATAACATAAACATTTTATTAAACAAACCGATTACCCAAATTTGAATTTATTGTTAAATTTTTTTAAAAAATGTTTCAAAATTAATTCATACATCCATTACAACCATTTGGAGATCTTTCCAAATTCAACATCTGTCATTATATACAATCCAATTAAAAACTGTTTCCATATTGATTCCTACATTAATATACAAAATGCAATAATGGCTTAGTTGGGGGTATTTTTGGAATCTAAAAAGTACAATAAATAAGATTTTATGCTTAATTAGGTAATTTGCTGAGTTGAATCCTAGTCATGGGTTTTTACTTATACAAATTGGGTATTATTTATATGAACAAAAAGTGAAGGGTTTTAGGTACGGCAAATTGAATTTGAAGGGTGTAAGCCAAATTTACTAAAAAAGTTAAACTACTTCACTTCTGTCCTAGCATTTTGGCTACATTATTAACAACCCCAGCACCCACAACAGCTCCAGCAACCGCGGCAACGGGAGCGACAATGGGCAGTTACCAGTAAAACTACGGTAACAACAGCGGCAACTGGGGCAATTACTGCTGCTGCAACTTCAACAAACTGGAAGAACGGCATTATGAACAGTTATTGCAGTCGAAATTGATTTTGCTCCAGAGCCCCTTTGGTTAACGTACCTCTCCATTGAATAATTCGGATTTTACATGCACGCGTGCATTAATATTCAATGTGCATTGGAATATGAAGAGTTTCTGCATCCATATGGAGCTCTACAGCTAGCTCTTTTGTCATTGCCATGATTTTTATGCATTTGAAAAGTTTGTCATAAATAAATATATTTTTTTATTTTTTAAAATACTTTAAGTTGATATTGTTTTGTTTTTGAACTTTTTTTGTAACTTACATTTGGAAACCTCTATTACAAGAAAAAGGGTAAAATAAAAAGGCGAAGATGAGTGATGAAAAAAAGAAGTTTCAAATGGCTTGGAGGAGTAACAAACTGTTGCGGCAGAAAAAGTTTACATAAAAGAGCCAAATAGGTTAGTGAAGAACGGATATGAATATTAAGACTTGAAGAATGAGGTTAGAGATGTTGGGAGTATGTAAATGTGAGTCTGTAACTCAAAATCAATTGGCAATGGATGGAGGACCAACACGTGAATAGCATGTTCGAATGCTATATCAGAATGTAAGCATCCAACCCAAAACTAATTGAAAATGAATTAATGACAGGTTTATTAATCCTTAATCGGAATCAAAATAAGGAGTGTACGTATTACTCCGGTGTTTACTTCACATAAAGAAATGAAAATGTAAGTGGGTCTACACAAAATCAGGAATTCAAATTTTGATTTTGGAGAAATTGGACTCTTGGGTTGGAGGTGGTGTTCTAACTATTGTAAGAACTAACCCATTAAGAATCCAATTTTTTACCCATTATATCCTCACACAATTTTTAGTAGACTGGAAACACCTGCTGTTCAAAAAAAAAAAAAAAACAAAACATTTTGTTTCTTTCTTCCCGAAGTACGTAATTACAGAGTCCTATACCCTGTCTAAACTTTTGAAACTGCAACAACACTAGGTTTGGGAAATTCTGAGGATGACAAAACTGGCAACAAAGCCACACAAATCAAATGTTTAATCACTGGAGATTCATCGCCTTCGGCTTCTGATACGGCTTGAAATGTCGTCCACAGAGGACATATAATTAGGCACACAAATAAGGGCTAGATCCTTCATTCATTACTCCGTTCTTTCTTTCTTTTTTCTCTTAAGGACCCAATCCAGATATGATCAGGACTTCTGCATCTGTTTTACGATGCTGCATCCGTCACAGCCACTGTCTTGTGCACTCTATCAGAAGCTTTCTTCACCTACAGAAGACATGAAAAAGGAGTATGAGATGAATGTAGCTTATATTCATACATGAAACAGAACATGGCAAGGCACTTTACTTCTTTTTCCCAGTTAGTGCATGTGACTATGATTGAAAGAGATACTGCTTGCACAAACAGAGCCACAGTAATTCCAATCCAAAGACCCTGTGAAAAACATGTTGACTTGAAATTAATATGCCAAAGTATAATCCTCAAAAAAAAAATTTTAAAAAATATATTTCTATAGAAGATTAAGAATGTGGAATATAAATTTGAATAAATAAATGAGCCGGGGAGAAACTCCAGTTACCTTCCCTCCAATGTGCAGGACAAAAGCTAATATAATTGAGATAGGAATGCCTATAAGATAATAAGCTCCAAGATTAACATAAGCCCCAATCTTTTGCTGCCCACTTCCTCTTATGACACCTGAAATTGTAATTGGAAGTAACATTTTGTCAATCAATCAATTATAAGATGACAGGCAACTAATAAGGTTATCTCAATCTTTCAGAGGATGCCCTGACATGAATTTTTTTTCGAATTACACAAAAGGTTTGCAAACCCAGATTCAAATGAGAAATTATACTGTGATGGAACAAGTATTTGAAGAAAAATGTCAGAGACCTGAAAGAACAGATTGAATTCCATCAAAAAAGTGGGCTATTGCAACCCACAGTAATATTTCTCCAGCATATTCCACAACTTCTTTATCTGTGGTGTAACAGTAGCCCCAAACTTTTCGACCCAATATCATGACAGCAACAACCACAATGCCTTCAGTAACAACCATGGAGAGTGTAACACATATGGCAAGACGGGCTAGTCGTGGTTTCCCAGCACCCAATTCATTTGAAACTCTTGTGCTAACAGAAAATAATAGAAGAATAGAAAAGGATTGTTGAGAAAATATGCAAAATAAAGACAAATATGAAACTTAATGTAGCCATAATAAACTCACCTTGCTGCACCACCCAGTCCGAGGGGGATCATGTAAGTCAGTGCACATGTGTTAAGGCTGTGTGAATATGTCACAATCGGTTAGTAATCAGTGTTTCTGCTTCAGTTTTTATTACTTAGCAATCAAAATTTTGGGAGCTGTCATTGGCATTTCAAAATAACACTGGGCTCATTTGAAATTGCACCGGGGGGTGAGTGCACGATGACTGTTTTGAGTGTCAATAACAGCTCTTAGAATTGATACTGTTCTATTGTCATTGCTTAGGGTCAAATGAAAACCTGATTGACAGGACTGAGGTTTCAAGCTTTGGATTAGGAAGAAGACCAGATAAGAGGACCATCATTTCAAAGCACCACATTTCTAAGCTGTTCACAGAGACATAAAACCATCAACCAACGATAGTAAGTTCACATTGTGAAATTTCAAATGACCACATTTCTTATTTCATTTTAAATCTCAAAAGGTTACCTGATCATTACAGCTGAAGGAATGGATAGTTTAAGAAAACTGAGAATTCCGTGAAAGGCCTCCTTTGAGAATCCAGTCCATGTGTGCTGACAAGAGGGAGAGAATCTGACATAAAGAAACAATAACAATGCATTGATCCAATATGCGATGCAGTTTGCCACAGCCGCACCTTTATATCCAAGGCTGGTCTTGTATACCAGAAGCCAACAGATAAGCAAGTGTAGCAAAGTTGCAGTTCCTGTAGTAACAATCATGGGAACCACATTGTTCTGAGTTTGTAAGAATCTGGAATGACATTGAAGGATTGCGTAAGCGAAAAGGCTTGGTATCATGTAACAAGCAAATTCCCCAGCAGCAGCAGATATTTCTGGATCTTGACCCAAAAATTCAAGAATGAAGCCTGTATTGGCCCATACAACTGCAAGAGGAATGCTGACCAGCAAAAGAACAATCATTGCCCTCTGCATATGTATACCAAGCATATGATATTGTTTTGCTCCATAGGACTGGCCACAAAATGTGTCCAATGCGCTTCCCATTCCAATCTAATCAGCAAATTAATAAGAGGGAAATGAAGACTAGGATTATTATCGAACACAACATAAGCATTACAATTCAAACATCACACACACACACACACACACACACACACTATATCTATATATATATATATATATATATAAAATATGTGTGTATATTATTTTTTGATAATAGGAAAAGCCATCTTACCATCAAGCTGATACCAGTTACTGAAGCAAATGAAGTGGCCATGGAAGCACCTGAAAGTGAAAGTTCTCCGAGATGACCAACATACATGACTGAAACAACCTGTATACAAAACAACAAGAAATTTGATGACACAAGAGGCCCTACTAACAACAGCTGCTTCTTCACTTCCATGAAAAACTCATCTCGGGTCAGCTGTTGTCCTTTTCTTGCTTGATAGTCATGTTCTTGATCTGCAAATGGAATCAAGGGTGACTCAAGATCACCTGCTTGTTCTTCTGCATTCATTTGGTACTTTCTTGTTCTTCAGAGAGGATTATGTGTTGAAGGCCTAGAACACAAAGAATCCGCCGTTGTTGCAACCTGCAAACATATTGATCACGGAATATGGTGACTCAAATAAATCGAGCAAGCCACATCGTCCAAACGATCTGAACTTGCAATAAAATATTTATTTCCTTGAGGATCTCTCAAATAAATTAGGCTAAACTGTTATTTTGCCCTTAAACTATACCATAATTGTTAATTTTCCCCTTAAACAATTTTTTCGATAAATTAAGAACTTAAACTATATGAAATTGGTCAATTTGGGACTCGCTCTGAATTTTTTGGATATCCATCCAAATTTTAATCACGTGACCTGGCCAATTTTTAAGTGAAAAAATGTAAGAAAAATTAGAAGAAAATTTATATATAAAAAAAGTTAAAAGAAAAGAAAGTCAAAAAAGGGTAGAAAAAGTTCCTTCGAATGGTTTGGTAACGGGGTGGTGCTATGCCTGGGTTTGGTGAAGGGGGTGGTGCTGTGCCTGGGCAGAACAGAACCCACCATTCTCTCTGTTCATCTCTCAGACTTTACAGCAGAACCCAGAAAAGGAAATACAAAAACGTGTTGTGTGGGAAAATCAACAAAGATCTTCATTTTCGTAGTCACATTGTTTGTGGCTATTAGGGTTTTGCACCATGGCCTCCAGAAAATCCATAAATGCTCCGCCCATTAATTCAGACCTTGCCACTCTCTCTTCTCCCTCTCTCATCTTCTCCAACCCCAATTCCAGTTCAAACCAACCTCCACCGACCTCAATTTTAAGCCCACCTCCTCCACCGATCCCAATTCAAACCCCACCTCCGTCATAACTTCATGTATTCACGGACGCAATGCTTGTATGTAACCACCACAGTCACTACCATTTCACGAGCGCAGGAAATTAATAGCTCTTTGGAAATTTTGTTCCTAAAAATTGAGGATGTGAATGTCACATAATTTGGGAATTCAATTTGGTGTTCAAATTAATATTATTGTTAATTCAGAGTCTCAGTTTGAACAATTATAGTATGGTACTAAAGTATGGCAACAGTGTATAACTCATCCGCGGATTATCAATTGTTATTTGAACAAATCAAACTGAAGGCTTCCCCTAAAAAACGGGATTTGTTTATTTAAATATGTGGGTTTATATGTACATTACTTTTGGACTAATTTTTTTCTGCATCTCTTATCAATTTCTGAATTGACCATTTCTTAAATCAATTCAAATTTGATGTTTGCCCTGATCAGCTCTGCCTTCCTGTCTTACTACTTGCTATAGAAGAAAGGTTTACCAGTTGATAGTTGTGCTTTAGTGAGGCAGAAACAAGTGAATAACATGCTCATTTTGTTTCTTGCAGTACTAAAGTTAAATAATTTACCCAAGTAATTAATTATACAGTATATACCATACTCTGTTTAAATTCTTGAAACGCAACACCAGATTGGGGAAATTATATGAAGATTATCATATGCTATAGTGCATGATTAAGACCACAACCTTCGTTTCTTGTCTGTTAAGTTTTCCCCTTTCTGAATTATTCCTCTGAAGGACCCAATCTGGACGTGATCATGACTTTTTCATCGACTTTACGACGATGCATCCGCCACGGCCATTGCGTCATGCACTCTATCCGAAGCTTTCTTCACCTATGAAAGGCATGAAAAATAGAGCATTAGATTAATGTAATTAACAGAGTCGGATACATGAAACATACTTCTCTTTCCCAATCAATGCATATGTATGAAAGAGACAGTGCTTGCGCCACTGTGATTCCCATCCAAAGACCCCGTGAAGAACATATGCTAAGAAAATGCATTAAAACGAATATTAAAAAAAAGTGAGGGGACTTGAAAAAAAAATATTGGAGAGGTATGAAGTTACCTTCCCTCCCATGTGCAGGACAAAAGCTAACAATACTGCAGTAGGAATTCCCATAAGAGCTCCCAGATTAATATAAGCCCCCATCTTTTGCTGCCTACTTCCTCTTATAATCGACATTCTCAATCATACACCTTCTTTTCCCCTTGATTGAAGGAAGCCTCTCTTCCCAATCTAATAACACCAACGTTGAGGAGGGTAATAACTTCTTCTACTCAGATACTCTACCTAAATACATATTCCCAAATTCATTCGAACGTTGGCGTCAAACTGGGCTATGCCGGGTACCACATCGGTGCCTCTTAGGAGACATGACCATCCCTTTTGTGTTGATCACCACTCGAGCTGAAGAAGAAAAACTTATTACTGCTGATTGGCCTAGTGGAAACTTTGACTTTTACGTCAAAGTCCTATGTTGAGCATTAAAAACCACCCGTCAACAAGAGGATAAAAAAATGAACCGCCAACATAGAATCATAGTCTATTCATGATGAATGATGCCAACTACAATCCCATGCATGCATAGGTTTCTCTCTCACACACACTACCATGGTGTCATGGGGGTTGAACTTAAGACCACTGGTCTGCAAGCAAATGTCATTTTCCATTGGGCGTTGGTTATTTGAAAGATGTTTTATGTTGGATGGAACTGATCCAGTCCAATTATATATGTTGAATCTGTTTGGATTGGATTGCTTACCTATATTGAATTCTAATATGACAAATCAAATTCTAATTGGATTGGATACTGATTCTTCAAAAGAAATTGGATTGTAACTGATGCAGAGCCTGTGTATAAACGTTAGCTTTGTAAATCATATGACTTGATGATAATTTAAAAAATATGAGAAAGCGTGACATGAATTTGATGCACCAATTGTGATTTTGGACTCCTCTATAAATGGAGCAGAAAGGTTTGCCAGCTCTGCTTACTGACAAAGTAACGACTGAATGGGGCGCATTTTGTTTCTTGCAAATATGAAACAGGGGAGAGTCTTCACCTGAATTTCCAACATCTATCAAAATATCTCCCATGAAAAAAATTATGCACATAACTAAGCAGAAGAGCCTTCATTATTTTTTTAACTCTTTTATTTCTGAATTTGGCTCAGAATTATACAATCTAGCTATGATCATGACTTCTGCATCAGCTTGACGACTCAGCCACGGTCACTCTGTTGAACACTCTATCAGAAGCTTTCTTCACCTACAAAAGTAATGAAAATGGAGCATGAGATGAATGCGACAGAGATTGATACATGAAACTTGACATGACAAACAAGTTTACTTCTTTCTCCCAATCTGTGCATATGACTATGATTGCAAGAGATAGTGCTTGCACAAATAGCGCCATAATAATTCCAATCCAAAGACCCTGCGCAGAACACATAAATTTTTTATATCCATGGAAGATTAAGAAAGAAGGTCAAAAGAAAAGTAGTATGGAAGATTAAAACCACAAGGATCTGGTGTCACCTTCCCTCCAATGTGCTGCACAAAAGCTAATAAGACTGCGGTAGGAATTCCTGTAAGATAATAGGCTCCCAGATTAACATATGCCCCAATCTTTTGCTGCCCACTTCCTCTTATGACACCTAAATTTGTAAATCAAAGTCGCTTCTCTTCAATAAATCGATTACAAAATATTTTCTTTAAGATGAGAAACTTGGGTATGCAGAATAGTTCAGTGTTTCACATTGCCATACTTCACCAATTGCACTTACATATATTATGTTAATCTTTTTTTTTTCTTTCCAAAATCAGTTTATGGTATAAGCCTGGTATTATATGAAGCTCTGGAAATCGAAGATTATAACCGAAAATTCTATTGTTATGAGAGAAGAAATTGAGAGAAATAGCAAGAACCTGAAAGAACAGATTGAGGTCCATCAAAAAAGTGGGATAGCGCGACAAAAATCAACATTTCTCCAACATACTTCACAACCTCTTTTTCACTGCTGTAACAGTAACCCCAAACGTTTCGAGCCAATATCATGACTGCAGCAGCCACAATGCCTTCAGTAACAACAATGGATAGTGCAACGCATATTGCTATACACGCCATTCGTGGTTGCCCAGCTCCCAATTGATTTGAAACTCTTGTGCTAACAGACAATGTACAAGTAAAGAACATAGAAAAATTTATGAGACAAGTACTCACAATAGAAGCATGCAGTACTTAAATCTAGCTGTGAACTCACTTACCTTACTGTACCACTGAAAGCCAGGGGAATCATATAGACCATTAAACATGTGTTAAAGCTGGAATTGTATCACAATCGGTTAGTAATTTCTTGGTTTGTATTGAATTTTCTCATTATTTACTAACAAGAATTTGTATTTTCGTTAATTCATTCGTTAGCGTCAAATGTAAAACCTGATTGAGAGGGCTGAGGTTTCAAGCTTTGGATTAGGAAGAAAACCTGATAAGAGCACTATCATTTCGAATGACCAGACTTCTAAGCTGTTCACAGACATAAAACCAAATAAGTACTAACATATCCATTCTAAGTCTTTAATGTTCCAATGGTGAGTCAACTAAAGATTACCTGACCATTACAGCTGAAGGAATTGATAGTTTTAAAAAATTGGGAATTCCATGAAAGGCCTCCTTTGAGAATCCAGTCCATGTGAGCTTACAAGAGGGAGAGACTCTGACATAAAGAGCCAATAACAATGCATTGATTGAATACGTGACGGAGGTTGCCAAAGCAGCGCCTCTGTATCCAAGGCTGGTCTTGTATACCAGAACCCAACAGTTGAGCAAGTGCACAAGCGTTGCAGCTCCTGTGCTAACAATCAAAGGAACCACATTGTTTTGAGTTTGCAGGAATCTGGCATGCGATTCTAGGATTGTGTAAGCGAAAAGGCTAGGTATCAATAAACAAGCATAGTTGCCAGCAGCAGCTGATATTTCTGGATCTTGATCCAAGAATTCAAGAATGCGGCCAGCATTGGCCCATACAAATGCAAGGGGAATGTTTACCAGAAGAAGAACAAGCATTGCCCTCTGCATGTGTATGCCAAGCATATGATACTCTTTTGCACCATAAGACTGGCCACAGAACGTGTCTAACGCGCTACCCATTCCTCTCTATTCAACAAATGAAGAGGAGAAATTTAGAGAAAAATGGAGCCTGATATTATCATCATACACAAAAGTAACAAAAAAGTATAAGGCTTTTGTTTTTTTTTTTTTTTTTTTTATGGACAATAACAGGGGAAGCCATATTACCGTCAAGCTCAAACCAGTCACCGAAGCGAATGAAGTGGCCATGGAAGCACCTGCCAGGGCCAGCTCCCCAACATGACCAACATACATGACTGAAATAAGCTGCATGCCAAATAGCAAGAAATTTGATGCGACAAGTGGCCCTGCTAACAACAGCTGCTTCTTCACTTCCTCCACAATCTCATCTTTGACCGGTACTTGTTTTCTTGATAGTAATGATTGTTCTTGGGGAACTTGAATCAAGGCTGAGTCGAGACCAGTTGTTTGTTCTTCGAAATCCATTTCTTGCTGTTCATACGGATGCTGGAAGAGCTATAAAATGGCCCCAATCCCACATTGAAGAACAAAAGGTAGTGCTCCTCTCCCTTCTATAAAGAGGTCATCTCCAACATTCTCTCTTATACCAATTGTCTACTAGGCCACAGTCATTGTGGCCTCTCCATTATTGAAGTGAACATACCAACCTAACCTTTGTGTTATGTACCAATTGCGGTAACAAAATGGATCTCTTAGCAGATTTTGATCGAATCAACAGATTTGTTAAGAATAATTAGAAGATCAGTAGATAATTAATATGCCATATTTCAAGTTTGTGAAAATATTCATTAGCCCAAAAAACAAAGGGGCCTCATATGCAACTTGAAAAGCAAATTAATCATAGAACGTTGCAAATCATGTCTAACAATCAGGCATATTGTTTTATATGCTCCCATATTGTGAATTAAACAGTTGGCTCCCTCAAAACTTGTTGTAGTTTGTTGCATGATCGGTTCGTGGCAGAGGTGCATTTTCAAAGAACCAATCTTTGGATGTGTCTTTGGATGCCTAAAAGTTTGAATTATATATATTAACGTTAGAAACATTTCATATACATGAATTAAACATAAAAACACACACACACATAAAGAGGAGTGTCCTCATTCAAGTGGTACCTCTTGATTAAGAGGTGCAATCCAAGAGATACATGGTTTCTGGATTAAAGTTACACCAATTTAGAAAAGACACAAACTCCTATATAAATAGAGGAGAATTTTCTGCAAAAACTACTCAATACTATTCATTATAAACTCTCCTCCTTCTAGTTTCATAAAGCAAAAACCATCTAGAGATTATAATCTGTAGCAATAGCCTCTAGACATTCTTGATTCTAAAGTGTGTTTGGGGTTTGTCTTTGAGTGTGCAACTTGTTGACAAACAACCTAGCTATAGGCTGGGCTTATTGTATCCATGGGCGGAACCACACTAAGGGCTACACTGGGTTGTAGCCGAGTGAGGTTTTTTTAGGGAAAAAACATCAAACCTATATATTTAACTTGTTTTAAATATTAACCAATATATATTAACTTATTTAAGTCCAAAAAAGTCCAATTCTTTATGAATTTAGTTGCAGGCAAGCAATAAAAATACACATTAAAATAGGCACACTTTCAATTCTATGGTTTAATATATTTTTATTTTGATAATATGTGTTTTTCAGTTGTATTTGATATGTATTTGTTTTATGATAAAGCTTATTGGGAATCAGTCAATAATAGGGTTATGAACTAACGTAGTTTATATGATATATTATTTTTATTTATAGAAACCTATAGAAACTGTAAGTTAAAAAAAATTATCATTAGATTTTCAGTTAATAACTTTAGCTAGCCCACCCATTAAAAAATTCATGGTTCCACAATTGATTGTAGACTTATTTGCGTACCTTTGCACCCAAGTTGTGGGGCCCAAACAGAGTCTAAAAGATAGTGTTTACATGCCTTGAAGCAACCTTTCATATCTTTCATCTTTCATAGCCATACCCATAGACATACACATATCCAACACAATTCCCATTTATGCATGCTTAAATGGAACTGACATGCTTACATGAAATGAGACAAACAATGAATTGGGGAAATCAGGAATGACAGTGAGAGACGAAATGGATATGAAACCAACTATTCCTACCTAATCAATCTAATTTTTGAGTTTTCAAGTGTACATTAGCAGGGACGGACCCAAGATTTCAAAATGGCGTGGGCTAAATTTTCCTTACGTACAAACTTATTGAAAACCGACGGTATGAGTAAATTTCATTGATAACAAATAAAAAAAAATACACCTTTGGGAGAGAGGGGGGGGGAGAAGGGGGGACATAATGAGCCTTACCCCTCAAATAACACTTATATAAGTTGCACCCTTAGGACATGTTTACGTATCAGTAATGGAGAAACTAAGGAATCAAAGAATTTAGGAATCGGAGAACTACTGAATCGGTATGGGAAGAATCATTCTCATTAAGTTGTTTACTAAACATATGGAAGTAGCAATGGAATGGGATTGATTCCCATTGTTATTGTTTACTAATTTGCATGAATCAGAATCCAAATTAATTTTAGAATTATGGTAAAGTAATAAGGGTATTTTTGGAAGTTATTAAGAGAAAACAGGAATGGGAATCGTATCGACTACTACCCCTAGTTGATCTGATTCCTAATTTTGAGGGAATGTGATTACGGATTTTGAGGTGGGGCCCACTTATTTTTTCATTCCTGATTGCAAGTAAACGCAGGAGAAGTCAAGAATGTAAATCATTTCATTTCCTTCCATACCCATTACTAATCACAACATTAAAATCACTAATTATTGATTCATTGTCTATATTATCAACAAATTCTCTTTCAATATGAAGTAACATACAATCAACAAATTCTCTCAAAAATTCAAATAAAAACATTACATATACTTAAATAGTTAAATATCTAATAAAATCCCTAATTGACAATTCATACAAGCAAGCAAGAACACCAAAATCAATTTCAAATCCTATTTAAAAATAATAAAAAATAATTGATTTTGAAAATTAAAAAAACTAATTGATAAACCTTAATTGTAAATCCCTAATTGATATTTCATAAACCCTAAATAATCCCCAAAATTTCAAAAGAAAAGAAGATGAAGAATGGAAAGATTACCTTATAGTTTGGTTTAATTAAGTCTGGACAGGACATGCATAATTTTTCTTTTTATCAATGATGGTTTGCTACTGCGCGAGAGAGAGAGAGAGGAATTCTTTTTTTTTTTTTTTTTTTTGGAAAAGGAGAGAGAAAATGTATGCGGTTAGTTAGCCTAATGGGAGTCTAATGTTTTTTCATGTGTGGTGGGGGGGTTAGTTCCTTTTTTTATTTGTTGGTCAGCCAAGTCCTAGTGAGATTAATTAATAATATTTTATTTGAGTGGCCTAGGCTAGGGTATTAATTTAGTCTTAACAAAATTAGTAGAGGCGAGAGAAATCACCAATTGGAACAGTTCAATTATTCGTATGTGAACAAAACGTAGGGAAGTCAAGTCATCATAATAATTTCAAGGCTTAATTGCTACAGTGCTCCCTGAAACATTGATTAATTCCCACAATACCCCCTTAAAGTTAAAGTGACTCACTTTGCCCTATTGACCGATGTTTTGTATTTCACTTTGCCCATCACTGTCAAGTCTATTAAAAATTCAGTTTAAAATGCTGATATGGCACCGGTGGAACCAACTATTTTGCTCAACTAAGTGCCATGTGTAAAGAAAAAAAATTAAAAATTAAAAAATTCATTCCTTTTTAAAATAACAAATACAAAATGAAAAAAATTAATAATAAATAACAAAAATTCATTCCTTTTTAACTCTCGTGCCCTCCCCCTCTCTCCCATGCTCTCCCCCTCCCACCATAACCACCATCTAACAAGCCACTGCCCAATATCACCCACCCAGTAACCAACCCTTACCACCCTCCCACCGCAAAACTTCTCAAGACACCCCACCTATCTCTCTGTCTCTCTGTCTCAAGTCCAGCCCCGAAAATCTAGTGCAAGCAAAAGACCACATTGCTCATAATTTATTATAATATGGCCAATAGATCTACACAAAAAAAATTATAATAAAAAATATAAAAATATAAAAAAATCGCTCCAACCCAGCCCACCCACCAAGACCTATTTCAATTATTTTATTTTCACTTATTATGGCTTATTTGATGGTATTTGTGAGAAACAAAACTTGAAGTTGGGAACGGTAAAATCTATAGCTATCTCCAAGTTATTAAAAATCGATTGATGAACAAAGTTGTATATTGGAGAATATCTAGTTTTAGGTTATGGTGGTGGTGGAGGGATGATTAGTAGCTGTGGTGGGGTGAGGTGAAGGGCCAAATCAGAGAGAGAGAGAGAGAGAGAGAGAGAGAGAGAGAGGGATGAAGGGGGTCAGTGCGCTGGTGTTGGGTTGTCGGTAGGGATGGGGTTGGGGGTGGGTTACGACTAGGGGTAGGGCTGGAGCTGAGGATAGGGTGCTATCAGATGGTGGAGAAATGAAGAGGGAGAGATACAACAGAGAGTAACGAAGGCTTCTAGGGAGGGGAGAAGTATATATATTTTTTATTTATTAATTTTTCCATTTTGTATTGTTTATTTTTTTTCTTCACACATGGCACTTAGTTTAGCAAAATAATAGGTCCTATTGGTGCCACATCAGCATTTTTAACAAAATTTTTAACAGACTTGACGGTGAGGGGCTTAGTGAGACGCAAAACATCGGTTAAAGGGACAAAGTGGGTCACTTTAACTTTAAGGGGGTACTGTGGGAATTGACCAAAGTTTCAGGAGGCACTGTAGCACTTAAGCCTAATTTCAATATCCACCCCAGGTAACGTGAGTGCATGTGCTCCGGCGGCATCGATCATGGGTCCATATACAAACTAGGTGAAACACCAAAATTAAACATCGCATCTCTTTTGCCTTGAGTCCTTTTATTCAAGATAGATTATTAGGACAAACTCCACGTTTATGATGGAATAAATAGAGCCAGTCTTGTGATTGCCTCTAATTACCTACCCTCGTGCATGCATGACAGGACACTCCTTATAGCCGAGGCCTAGCTCAGATTTCAAAAGATCCCGTGCCAGCCACGTGATCTTTTTTACTCTAATTGCATGAATGTGGGCATTCATGTATCTGAGATTATATGATACATATAAGTGGGTGTTCTTGCTTCCTTCAAGTCTCGTGGGTGTTTTTGACTTTATATATATCTATATATATATATATATAGATATATATTCATTTTTATTCTACGCAAGGGCCATGAGCTTCTTTTTTAGATTGGCAAGATAGATGTAAAAAATGTTTGGCACCAACGACATGTTGGATGCTGTCACTGATGTAGTACAGCCCTGGGTGTGTTAGTTTAAACACTCGGAGCAATAGGACAGAAAAAAATATGAGAAGTTGAAGGGAAGAAAAGATAGAAGGAAGTCTGAAATC